TAACAAGTAACTGGCTAAATTGTTTCCATTTGGCTTTTGGAATTTTTGGAATTGGTTTTAAATTGTATTACCATGACTCTGATGTGCAGAAAAATGAAACCTTATTCTGAACTGTGACTTAAGTGACTGAATATTTTCCACATTTTCAGTCATCTCAGTGGCTGCTCTAAGCTCATCAGTATATTTTGGTTATGGAACTGCAATAAAATAAACGCACAAGTGAATGCTCTGGGATGGGCAATAAAAAAGTATTGTTCATCTGCCGTTATTCCACTTGTGGTTACTTCATCCTTTGTATTTGGCTTCATGCATGAGCAGTATGGTAGCAAACTGTGGAGGGATTCCATGAATGCCAAGAAAATTAATCTGTCGTAACAACACACCTGCAATGACATTCAAACATAGATCTGTTTGTGACATGTAACTGACAGCATTTTGATTGGGACATGACAGGTTTAAAGGTTCTCAAATGCTAAATTTGAGTTTATGATTCTAACAGTTTTTCCTTTTTTTTAGCCCTTGTTGAGATTTTGCCAATGTTCTTAGCCTAACCCTATAGCTGACAATGTTGTCACTGATTAGATTTCAAAGGTGGCATAATGGTGTGATGTTTCGGATTGCTGCCTCGAATAAAGGAGCTTTCTGGCACAAATCCCGGTAGGTACTTCTCTGCGTGTAATTTTTCAGCATACCCTGCTTTTCTACCAAAACCTAAAAATGTGTATATAAGGGTGATGATGAACCATTTCAGTGAGTGTGCATGTTTGTCTCTGTGGGGGCAACACTATGCTAAGACTGAAAAAGAAAATAAACAGTATTTTTGCAATATTCAATGCAAAACCTTTATATAAAATAAGATATTGCATGCAGTGTTTGACATCGTCAAGATATATGACATTAGTGGAAATCAGATATGCTTCTATTGGAATATTTCTGTTTACATGAATATTTAAGTTACATCGCAAATATTAACAGCGCACATCCATCCATTCATATAGGTTATTACATCCCTGCTGTGCCTACTGGTTCGTATCATGAACTGTGGTGTTGAAATGTCACCTAGGCAACCAACAACAAGGAACACTAACACATGACTACATTTTGAAATGACACATTTAAGACAAAACCGCAATCTTTTCCTTCCATTATTCAACATGTATTCATGTACTGTATTTTCTTATCATATTATTATTAGAATCTGACAGCTCCAGTTTTAAAACTGTTAAACTGACTGAGGTATGTGACTGGTTTTTGTACCTGTGGTTTCTCTAACCCTAACCCAGCATCATTTGGCTTTGTAAATCTCAATTGATAACTACATTTATATTATTTAGCTCATTATACCTGCCTGGCTCATTATACCCTTTTAGCTTGTTATACCTGCCTGGTACTGTGAGTGGAAACCCACTTTTTAGAAATCCCAACTTTGATATATGTGTGTACATTAGTCTAAAGTATGAGTATTCATCCATGCCCATTAAAGCCAAGCGTGTTGTTGGCAGATGCAAAAGCTGTCAGAGTGCTTGTGTAAAAAGCTTTAAAATTCCACATGCAATAAAATTGTTATTTATAGGACCATAACTGGCTTGTAGTTTGTCTTACACAAACCCCAGAGGGGGAATCAAGACACTCAACCTTCCCATACACACTCACTGCATGGTCCTCTGCAGCACATGGTCCCTCCATAGGTTTGTGTTGCTCGCTGATTCAAGTGAGTTAGGCTGCCTCGTTTTTACTCAGCCACATGAAAGCTAAAAAAATTGACTGGAAATCAAGCGGATAAGAATTTGTGGCAAAGCAGAGAGAAAGAATGGAGAATAACAGAAGGACATAGCAAAAGAGGTGCTCTCAGTAAGCAATGTGATGTCATCTGGAAAAGCGGGTAATACTGTTAAAGAAACTACAAAAAAGACAAACGTGTGACACAACAGCTGTGGCATTAAGGAAGAATGTGTCAGTCACTTGTTAAAATTCAAAATAAAGAAACTGGCAATCGCAGAAAAACGCTCAGCCAGAACCAAAGGAGCTGTCATGGACAGAAGGTCAGCGGAGTTCAGTGGTTTATGTCATTATAAAAAGAGGTCGGCTGTAGATTGGTTTGATATAAACTGGCTCCTCCAAGAGACTGGGCATCTTTACTACAAGTAGTTTACCTTAATGTTTCTGAAAGATCCAAACCCTCATGAACCTCGGGGATAAAATCCAAAGTGACTTAACTTAAGCTTCAACTCCAGTCCCAACAACTGTGTTTTGGATGAAATTTGACTGAACTGAACCCACTCACTTGAGCATGTCTGAATGTTTTGTCGCGGTTTTTCTCCAATGTAATTTCAGAAGGCTGCTAATGTTCACTTATTTAAAAAAAGGTCGGAAAACAGAATCAACAAACAAATGACGCAGACAGCTCTGTGCTGTGCACAGTTATGGCTGTTTGTATCCCAACAAATGTGTGAATCAGTGGGAGCGGTACCTCAGTGTTGCACCCTACAAGTTTACGTATATGACTCATGCCAGAAACCTGCATGTTGCTGGTGATTAAAAAAGCAGCTTTCTTTTAAGTTTTTTTTCTTAAAGAAAAAACAGTCTGTGGCTTGCACGTCTGGATGGGGAACCAATAAAGCAAGACACCCTCGAACAAGGATAACAGCTTAAAATAAAGTTTGTCAACACTCCCCATTATTAGAAAATGTATCATTGCTCCTGTTTGAGATTAAGAAATACAAAGCTTTCGTGGGGAAGAAGGTATGTCAAGGTAATATTCATTAAATTGTATAAGTTTACAATAGTCTTGCATGTTTTGTAAACTCTTTTCCTGACAAACATTGTGCAGACTCACGTATTTTCACTTGTTTATTTCACAATCAACCGATTCTGAATATCTAAAAGTAGCTATCTACCACATAATATTCATTGTAATAAATAGTATTTTGGTGTTTTGCTTTATTGTCTGGTCACTTATTTCCAGTGAAACTGTATATTTCTATTCCTACATTTATTTCTGGGTATGTTTAGATGAGAAATGATCACCACAATGGCTGGGATCAGGTAAAAGAAAAGAGTACCAAAGCCAAAAACTTAAGATGCTAATATTCTACTTAAAACGATTCAAATTTAAAGGAAAACACATCATTCATTCTTTGCAATGAAAAATTAATTTCATGTCCGGCCATTGAGAAAAACATTGAAAGCATCAAGTCTACAGGATTATTGGAAACAGTTTACAATCCATGAAGGCAAAGGGATGTTATGTGTTCTATATTTTTGAGTGGTTCGAATGTTTATGAGTGATTATCAGGCATTAACTTGATTTTTTTTTGTCTTTTTATATGTTGCTATTGGTAGTCAGGAGAGGCATCTGGTTCAAACTGGCAAGGGTCTTTCTGTGTGGAGTTTATATGTTCTCTCTGTGCCTGTATGGCTTTCTTCCCACAGTTCAAAGACATAAATGTTAGGATAACATTCTAAATGGGGTGTGGGAGTGTGTGTGCTGCCTTCCTTTGTGTGTTATCCTCTGATAAACTGGTGATTTCATGCTGTACCCTGCATCTCTCCCAATATCGCACAGGCTGGAGCCCTGGTGCCTGCAAGGACAAAGCAGGCAGGTCATAGAAACAGGTTGGATCAAATTTGAGTAAATGTTCCTTTGCTAACATTCTATACTTTGATTAATGTATGCAGAAAAAATCTACATAATTGGTATTTTGATTCAAAGTCACACAACACAAAGAAAGCAAAGACTAATAAAGCACTGTTTTTGCTTTTAGCGAGGCAGTGTAAGTTGCAGATGGCAAATGCAGAGATAAAAGTGCATAAAAAAAAATTTAAAAAAAGCTTTTTAGGCTGTGTATATTTATGTCTACCTTAAATCCACCATGTTGAGCATATTGATTTTCAATTGGCGTGCTTCAGAGCAATGCTTGTATTTTACAGGACAGTATTGATCCTTTTCATATGTGACTTTGAAGGATATTCCCTTTTCGGCACAGCAAATACTGCCACTCTGTGTTCCAAAACAGACGTTGCTGCCTGAGATTGTCATTCAGCTCTAAGGGGAACCCACCCTCTTGGGTCAAAACGACTTCACACTGTAAAAAAAAAAAAAAAAAGGTAAAGGTTTAACATTACGTATTATCATTGTATTTCCTTGGGGAATTACCGGGATGGCGTGGCTTGTTTTAAAAGTTTTCTTGTTAACATGTAGGTGGACCAGATGAGCAATGTTTACATAAATGTTGATTTGTCATGCTGATATTCGAACATCAAAACCACAATCACATCCCTCCGGTTGGTGTGAGGGAATTCCACTATTATGTCTTTGACATCCAAACGCCTCAATGATGAATAAAGTATTCTATTGTTTTGTTTAAATTCTTAATATGCCATGAGTTGTTGGAGCCCATTTCACAATTGAACAACGTGACTGATGTCATGGCACTCTTAATCGTCAACCACATTGCGCACAGGTGCAAATATCATATGTTTATATCGTATTTGAGGATATGCTCTATGAAGCAACTTGAAAAACATTTGTTCAAAAATGTTTCAAATGTTCCTAAGATGACCTGACTCGTTCGTTTCCGGTGTCAGATTTACGAGCTTTTGCTCCATGTGTCAATCAAATATGCGGATCAAGCTTAGAATGTCATTTGACTCGCTTAGAAGTTTAACAACAAATGCTGCTGGTGTCTTAGAATACATCTTTATGTGCCAAAGTCAACCTAGACGCGCAGCGTCTGAAAGCACCTTTGGATTCATTGGCTTTATTTAACAGTCTTTTAGTTAAAAGTGTGTGGGGCTTTTGACAGTTTGTACCCGATATAATTTCCTCCAAAGCCCTGATGACCGAAGCCCGTGTCGTTTAATTAATCCCTTGCATGACGTACGCATAGTCAGGTATAGAAAACAAGGAATTGGCGAGGAAGACCATTACGAAGCCCTTCATGACATCACCATGGGCTGGCTATAAAGGGACGCGGACTAATGCTCAGAGTTAGGAGAGCACTTCAGGAGGTTTGACGATCAGGACGCACTCAATCTGAAATTAAACAGCTGTCTAACGGACGCAACCGCCGAGGAGTCCCTGAAAGAGTACCAGAATTGCCAGAATGAACTTGTCATACTTTGTTGCGTGTGGACTTTTAGTCACACTGCTTTCAGAGAAGATGGGGGCAAAACCTTTGACTCAGGCGCAGCAAAAGGTAAGTCACACAGAAATGCCTCAAATGGATGTTGGAGGCTGAAGCTGAACATCTTAACTGTAGTGTTTTACGCATCAGATTTTAATAGTTTTATCTTTACCAATTGAGCAAAAACACTGTTTTTTTGGGAGTGAGGAAACAGAAAATTTGTTGTGAATGTCAATTCATCCCGTTAACCTATTTTTCAAACTATCTTTCAGTGATGCCAAACAGATGCAGACCGCACAGCATCATTTATATACCTATGTATGAGTGTACCAAATTGAGAAAAAGAAAAAATATATTTGCAATGGAATCGCTTTTAGAAGCGACATTGCAAGATGACCATGATCTAAATGTATTCTGTCACTATTCACAGATGTGGAACGACAGAAATCTGAACCATTTTGTGCGTAAAAGGGAAGACGCGTAAAACAGAGACCAATGAATTAGCGATAAATAAGATTATTTGAAACCAAGTGATGTGACTTTGTGTACACTACTTGAATTTAGGAAACCTGGAGATGATGGTGCTCTTCAAAGCAGAGCTGTAGGCTTTAGGCACCTGTTTTTCAGCCACATTTGTCGGGCGTAATGACAAAGACGAGTATTGGCTCTTGGCAAAATCTAAACATTCTAAGATTTTTCTTTAGGAAATTTACTTTTAAACCCGTGACATCCACTTTTTTTTGGCAGTTTTAACTTTGAATGGAAGAAGATAGTTACTTAGTTTTACAAATACGTTCAATAAGTGTCGAAACCATTATTTGCCAATGTTTATGTTCAGATGTGGTTACGGTTAAGGCTTACAGCAAACTGTACTCTGCTCAAACAAGCTCTAGGTCTTTGCAATTTTATCACAACCCGATCTCTTTGCACAATATATTCGCCTAAGGGATACATTGTTTATCTTCTCTTTTCTTCCAGTCTCTTAGAAGTTTGCTGGGCGAGGAGTTGGCAGAATTTCTGGAGTCGGGAGAGAGGGAGAAGCGGCTGGACGCTGTGCGCACTCGGATACGGTTACTGAGAGATTTACGGATGGACACTCGGGCCAGAGGGATGTGGGCACGTCTCTTGAACGACCAACCCCCAACGAGGAAACACAAATCAGGGAGCAAGAAAGGAGGCTCCACGAGTGGCTGCTTCGGACATAAGATGGACAGAATAGGGACCATCAGCGGCATGGGCTGCTAGGGTCGACGATTCGAATCGAGGGTAAGTGAGCTTTAACAGTCAACTCACTTCACTCTTAGACTGAGTCAGGGTCAGATCAGAAACGCAATGCGGAGGGCTACGGTGGAGAATGAATGGAATTATGAATGGGGCTGATAAACAAGGGAAGAAGGGCTGTGCAGTTTGAGGGGAGGTGGAGGAGAAAGAGGGATCAAGAAAGCGGTTTCTGTCAGTGATTATGGGACGCTTAAAGGCTAAAAGAGTCTAATAATTTTTTACTGGTTTACAAACTTTTCTTGATGAATATATGAACAACTAAAGTCATGGGATAAGACATGAATGGATGGATAGTTAAGAGTCCACAGAATAGAGATCAGACACCTAATCTTAGATCTTTTTTTCTTTTATATTAATCTCAGGACAAGGTGTTATTTTCATTCATGGTCAAACCAGTAAAGAACAGTTATCTGGAATCAGTGAAAGCATTATTGTGAACAAAAGCCTGAAACGGCAGAACGTGTCTATAATGGTTGTACCGTGACAGATCCAAATAGGTGGGTTAGATATGAGAGATAGCAACAAACTGAATGTGAGCAACCAACACTTAAGCTGATGTCAAGCTTTTAAGAAGAAAAACATTTTTGTCAAGTCAAGCTCCCAGGAACAGCAGGAATACCCGTCAGGAAAGCCCCCTCACACTGACGTACAGTGATGAACTGGGAACAATCCAGTGGATATTTAGGAAGTTCACTCTTGTGTCCTTACGCATCATTTGAATGAGACCATCTGTTTTATGTGAATAGCGGCAACATACATCTTGTTTAGGGAGAAAAGAAAGTCAGGGAGAGACGGAGGAAGGAAGTGGGGATGCAGACATACACTCCCTTGAAAATGGAGTATCCTGCAGTGGTCAGGAGCTTTCTGGGAAACCCATTTTCTTTACCCGAGTGTTTTGACCAAATATAAGGAAGGGGCTGTGTTGGTGAATGGAGTAATAAGGAAGCTAGGTGACACATAATTAGTCCTGAGGGCTGAGGCCTTTTTGTGGTTGTGGCACACTGTGAAATCCCGATGACTGCATTTGTAATTTTGTGACAGCTGTGAATGAGCGTTACTCATCAGCTGACACCCACAAATATGCTAGTTTGCAGGTCTTAGGAAGAGAGACAGAAGAGCAAGGGTTACTGAAAACATTTTAAAAAACACAGTCTGAGTGACACAGTGCTCACTGAGCTGTCGCTGACTTTTGGTTTAATCTTTTCTCTTCTTTTTCCTTTCTTTTTCTAGACCTCTGGACGATGGTTTTGGACAACAAGAGTTGAGTTTGTTCTCACCTGAGGAAAAAAAAATAAAGAAAAATCATCAAATGAAAAGATTTTCGGTACGAAATTGGCCTGGACCAGCATTTACAAGGACTGAGATGATAATGCTACAAAATCTTCATATAAATACATATATACTACGTAAATACGCAGGTATATATACATATATGTATACCACACAAAATGATCTACTTATACAAACAGATATATACTACAACATTGTGGACAATGGTGTAAAAACTACAAACTGCAAAGCTGTACATTATTGCCCCGCTGCTGTACATTCAAGTACTTCATCTCCCGCTGCATAAATGTATTTATGTTTAAAAAATATTTATATGTTTATAAAAAGAGATATTTATAAATATGAGTTTTATTTATGTAACATTTTGAAAATGGATGCAAACTGCAGGTCAATTCTGTTTGTTACCCTTTTCTTTTGTCGCAGATAACTGTAAATGTTTTAAAAAATGAAAAAAAAAAAAGATATTCCACGTGCACTTACATCCCATGTCTCTGGGCGTCTGTGTTCAACTGGATTTAGAAAATTCTAGTCTCTAATTACCTTCTGCCTTGGATTTGGGAGAGGAAGTTGTAGTAATAGGAGTGTATGTGACACGTAAAGGGCCAACAGTGTTTGCATTTTGCAGTTCAATAGTTATAATAGATTTATTATAAGACTTACCATCAATTATTCTGCATGAGGATGAGTTGGCTGCTTTGGATCTTTTCCCATGCAAATAAGTCAAGAGATTTAATCATGAAACTGTTACAACATGGTATTGATTCCACATTACATATTACAATATGGAAATTTTAAATGGAATGGTAAACTTCATTTTGTTACCTACAAGCACTTAAATAATGAGGCAGGAAAATCTAATTTCCGAATCATGACACCTGGTAAAGGTAGAGTTTGGATGACGATTTAAAATCATACCGCTAAATCATTCAGTAGGTGTGGGATTATGGGTGTAATATCCCAGCAGAAAATAGGAGAGACAGAGCCTGTAAATGCAGGTAAAGGATGAGCATGCAGGTCCTAAAAACTTCTTGCTGTTGGCCAATATTCTGTTCTGAAAAATGCTTTTCTTAATAGTATTATACTACAGTGGGATTTAAAGGGACAAAAATGGTGTGTATTTATAAGACAGAAGAGATAAAGCAATCTGTTAACCAATTTCATAGCTGAATTATCAGTAACTTGGACCCAGATCAATACTTTACAGCCACTGATTTAAGTTATATCATGACAGTATTAACAATGTCTATGTTTATGCTACAATACCCATTTATGAGCAGTTTCCAATCTAAAGTGAAGCAATTAAGTTTGTAAAAAGGCAGTAAATATGTGAAATTCAAAAGCAACCAAGTGGGTAGTTCAAGAAAATAATATGGAAACATTTAAAACAGCTCTATAAAATAGTGTTTATAAGGAAAATGTGTTAATGAATTAGCTATAAGTTGCTCTACACAGTTATAGGATAATCAGTTAAAAGTTAGAGAGGGCCAAACTTTATTTGGAGCAGAACATTATTGAATATGTCTGATTTTACAAAGTTGTAGTCAACCACTATTTGTGACCAGGTGACTTTTTTGCTGAGTTTTGCCACCAGTATGAAAACATGGCAAATTAAATCAAGCAAAAAAGGTCTTCATAGTCTTAGTTTATCTGATGAAACTCTATAACTGTGGGTTGAACTTTATATGGTTTATATCGTTTTCCTTTCCAATGTCTTGAAACATGATACACACGGTGTAGTGATAAAGTAAAATTCTCACAACCTGCATGAATGTACTCGTTCACTAGAGGGCGTTATAGAGCTGTAGGAGACAGGAACAGTGGAAGGCATCCTTTCCATATACAAGAAGATAGGACATTCAAATGTATCATTTCAAAATCTAATTAATGTCTTTTAAAATGCACAAGGGCTTTTATATTTAGTGAGAAAATGCCACTAATGAATTTGTCTCGTTAAAGGTTCACAGATGCATCAAAAACTCTTTTTACTCGGCGTAAGATCTAACTAAGATCCTAAGAATCACAAACTCCTGTACAAATCATTATTCATAAGTTTAAAATAGATCTAAAGTCTTACCGATTGATTCATTCTTATATTAACTTTATATAATTTTTTCATAGTTGATTTATCTTTATAGTTACACTTTACTTTCACTATACACCATCCACCCATCCATTATCATTACTGCTTACTCCCTAATGGGGTCGCGGGGAGAACTGGAGCCTATCCCAGTGGTCAACGGGCGAGAGGCGGGGTACACCCTGGACAGTCCGCCAGTCCATCGCAGGGCCACAGTAAACACATTTTCTTTAATAAAAATATGTTTTAAACTATAATGTTTTGTGACAATCCTCCCATGCTTTTGTAAGGCTGTCATCTCTTTGTTAACCTGTACAGTGCATAAATAATGCTGCTACCGTGGTACAAGCAAAGGTTTGACTGGGAACAGAAAATCCACTTATTTGTGGTGCATTTATTTCTCTGCCTCATACTTTTTATATGTTGAAGCAACCTCACATCCAATATATTTGTAACTGGTTTAAGACTCAGATTAATCTTAATTTTCCAGAATTTCTACACACATGTAAATGTGATTTCTTTAGTAAACTAATATGAGCACACAGGACAGGTTATGAGGAAAGTAAGTGACTTTTAGGTCCAAGGACAGCCAAGGCTGTCTTTACCCAGCAATTCATTCCGAATGCCCAGTGATGGGGTTAGATTAAATTATTTGTACTCTTGATAACAGAACACAGAGATGATCTACCATCTCTACTCAGAGAGATGGAAGATCAATACAAGATATTGAGGGGAAAATGGAGGTGAAGAATACATTTTCTTTTCCCTGAATTGTGAGTCAGAGATGTTTTCCGTTCAGAAAGACATTTCACACAACCTTTATTATTTGTAAGGGGAATTTTGAAAACCACCTTCAAGCCAGTCAGTGGGCTGAAAATAGAATAAAAGTGAGAATGATTCACTTCAACTTGTAAAGACATAAAGCAACGTTATTTTTTCTATCTTAGGGTGAAAACAGAAGAAAAATCAGGGTAATAAAATAAATATCACCTTTTACCTCTCAAAGTATCCTGTTCCAAAGAGACTCCAGTTTGAGCAACAGCAGTAAAAGGCAATGCTGCCTCTGTGTGGTGTGGCAGGTTAATTACTCAGTGCTGTTCACACCCTGGAAAACTAGCTGCCGGGGCTTGGTTGTTACCTGTTAAACACGTGGTATTGTGCCATACTGTGCCATGCTGGTAAGTCTTCAGCATCAGAGGGAAACAGCTGAAACATCAGTTCAAACTAACATAAAAGCAACCACTTTATGTAGCAGAAGATATTCATTTCATTCCGTTATCTTTGGGTGTTTTAATTGGATTTTGTAGTTTAGGAAGATAATACATAAGTCAACAAGCATCAATGCTGTGCTTTGAGTTTGGATGAGATCTTTTTCTCGAAAGGCAAGTTGTCATTAAACTGAGCCAGTCTTGTGGAGCCATGATAAAAGACAAAAAAAGAGTACAAAACACAGTTATTATTACTCAAAAGACGATTACAAATTGAGACAATCCAATAAAGTCTTGCAAAGAAAGACCTGCATACTGACACGTGGTTACCATGGCTGTGTTCCTCTATTGGGCATGTTTACAAATGGAACAAATGTAACAGAAGTAATCCATTTCTAACTTTGGATACTCTGCGTGTTTAGTTAAAGAAACTGATTGAATTTGTACACTCTACAGTCCATATGTGTCGCCCACCTGATAAGCAACAGTTACCATAAGTTACCTTATGGCTCACTGGCGACTGTTCCCTTAAACAGGTCGAGGCCACGTGTGATGGAAGTGATGGTTTACGACAAATGTCCAAACCACGTGGTCCACATCAACAGCTGCAAGAAATATGAATACTTTCAGTCTAGTTTCCACTCTGTTATCTATAATTAAGTTTATCGAACGTTGAGAAAAAATCTTACAGGATGCACAGTCAAATAATGAACATCATACAATTTATTTGAATTGTTAGTAATATGGAAAACACAATTACCTAAATTTCACGTTAGAGGGGAGGCGCGGGCACGATGCAAATCTCGTCACTTCTGATTGGTCCATGCAGTCATGTGGGCGGGTCTGCGTTAGCGCGCAGAGCTGGAGAGCAACTGCGACTTCGACTTATCTGTCTTTCCTGTCCAATGTTCCACTGAGCAGGCTGAACCACGTGCATACATTAGATTTTTTGTTACTTGAATCAGTTCAACCAGTTCCTCGTGTTTCGTTGAAACACATCAGAAATAACCATGGTCAAGCTAGCCAAGGTAAGACAACTAAAAAAACATTTTCAATGCTGTTACGGTTAATTGTGTACGCAATTGTGGTCGAAATTGGGCTTTCTTTACGCACGAGGCCTTCATGCAGAAGTTGCTGTTTTTGTGAGAGAAGAACGAACTCTAATGCAAGCGAAACGTGTACATATGTATTGAAATTAATTCACGCTATTGGGGTAGTTTTTGTTCTGCATGCTTAATGGCGAATGCGTCGTGCTTTTCTTCCAGTACGTTTTTTCGTCGCGAGGAGCCATGTTGTTGCCTTGCTGTTGGTTTATAGGCCTGCTACGGCCTGTAACACGGACTTTTTCAAAATGGCACTCAGCAGTGTTCGCAGCTTAACTATTCAATTTGAGGATTCATTAGAATGGCGACTTTAAACGGATCCGCCGATTAACACGAACATTTTATGGAGTTTTATTATATTTAATTGCGCCTGGCGTGTTATTTCGTCCCGGCTACTAGCATGAGCCTAATTTTCCTTTAAGCACATTTATCCAACGCAGTCGTGTGTCGCAGTGTTTCTTCATCCGGACCCGGTTATTTAATGCTCTCAAACATCATTTTACCGTGAAATGTTTCCTTTGGTGTAAGTGTGCTATATGTGCGACTGAGTCATTAGCCGACATGCTAGCTGGCCGGCCTCCTAAGCTCCACGTGGGTTGGGCGCCTGCTCAGTGAGACGCACGAGGCAGCAACCAATACCCAGAAGAACGTTTTACAATTCAAACAACGATCACGACACATCTCGATTCACAGTTTATCAGTTATTTAATCACTTTAATCTAGTTTTTGAGTTTTCTAGTGTTAGAAACGTAACACGTGGGTTAAGTCCTCCATGTGGTAAACCCAATTCATGCCTGACATCGAAAGGGTAATGGTTTCCATTGTAAATAGTTTTAAGCCTTTATTTGATCGTTGTAGGCCTGTTAAAGTTTATGAAAGGTTGATCAGCTATCTGAGGAAGTCATTTTAACTCGAGTTCCATATTTCCCATTTCAGGCAGCAAATCAACAAGCCCTCAAGAAAAAAGCTCCACCCCCCAAGAAGGTGGAAGAGGAATCCAGTGATGAGGACAGCAGTGAAGAGGAAGAAGTGGTGAGATTTAATGACATGGTCATTTATTGGTTTATTTCTATTTATTGATTTTTAAATTTTTTCCCCGAATGTCAGATCCCTCCGCCAAAAGTTGCAAAGAAGGCAACTCCAGCTAAAGCCACCCCAGTTGTAAAGAACGGTACTGCTGCCAAAAAAGCCGAAAGTAGTGATGAGGATGATGAAGAAGATGATGGTAAGCTTTACAATTCCTGTGCTAATTATGTATTCAAAACTGAATGGATAATTATACTATAAACTAAAAAAAATGTTTTGGCCCTTCTGTTGTGAATAATAATAAATTAACTCATGATCATTTGTAGAAGAGTCATCTGAGGAGGAAGCCCCTCCACCCAAGAAGACACCTGCGAAAGCAACGCCTGCAAAAGCAACACCTGCAAAGAAGGCCGCTAAGCCCACACCAGCTAAGGCTGCCCCAGCAAAGGCAGAGTCCTCAAATGATGATGGTACGTGCTGCTGCAACATTGAATATAGTCCGGGTTTAACATGAACACCGTCTCACCCTCCATTTCTTGGCATACATGGGGTTGTGCAGTACTCATGTGTGTAATGTACGGAGGAAAAACAAAGGCAGTGCTATGTCTTCGGTACCGGCATGTTTTTCGTCTGCCGGTTCTATCCTCAATCGCTGTCACATTGTCTGAAAACATCTAAAATGAGAACTGTGAATATTCAGGTAAGAGCTCTCAAACTGTCCCTGTTTTTTTCTTTTTTTCACTTTAGATGAGTCAGAAGAGGAGGCCCCACCCCCTAAGAAGGCTACTCCAGCTAAACCTGCTAAAGCAGCAGCCAAGCCAGCAGCTAAACCACAGCCTGCTGAAGAGTCCTCTGATGAGGAAGAGGAGTCTGAAGAAGAAGCCCCACCCCCCAAAAAGGCTACTCCAGCCAAACCGGCCAAAGCAGCCAAGCCAGCAGTTAAAGCCCAGCCTGCAGAAGAGTCCTCTGACGAAGATGACGATGAGGAGGATGGTAAGAGTCTGTCGTTTGTTTTAATCAGATTTGGGTTTAATGGTTTAGAAAGGCTCCAGGATTTGAATGATGATCAAAAGGGACTTAATACTGATTTTGTGTGATGTCACCTTTATAATACATCTGACCCGGGTTTGCAACGGATGGTCACCTGGTTGGTTTTTGGCCGTTGTGATGGATTTGTGCCTTTAACGTCTTTGGCTTGTAGACTCTGAAGAAGAGATGGACACAACTCCTGCTCCTGCAGCAACAAAGGCCAAGAAAGCAGGCATGGTAAAAGCTAAAGAAGAGTCGGAAGAGGAGGATGACGACGAGGAGGAGGAGGATGATGATGATGAAGAGGATGAGGAGGAAGAAGGTGAGTTCGGTTTAACTTGAAGTGGATCGTGTCTCACATTGATTTCCTCATGGTCTGTACTGGGTAAACTAAAATGAGGCTTTAAAAGTAAATGTACCCCACTTGATTTTATAAAACCTTTCTGCAATTTGTGGTCGGTGTTCAATGCGCCTCAGTTCAGCGGCAGTCGCAAGCTGCGTCATCCCACATGACAGGCTTTGACTTAAAGAACTGCACTGCTCCTTTCTCCACAGAGGCCCCAGCGAAACCTGCAAAAAGGAAGGCCGAGAGCAAAAAGGAGACACCTCCTGCTAAGAAAGCAAAACCAGACGGGGAAGGTAAGGACCACCAATCTGCAGTTCATCAAAAATAGATTTAATGACTATGAATGTTACACAATTGACACTGTCCTTTTTTCAGGGTTCTGTTTATTTGTGGGAAACTTGAACGCCAATAAAGACTTTGACGAGATCAAAGCTTCTTTGAAGAAATTCTTCTCCAAAAACAGCCTAGAAATCGTTGATGTCCGGCTAGGGGGATCAAAGTAAGTTAATGTCTCCCCCCCCCCCATCTACGGTTTCAGGCTCGGTGTAACATGATCAGGTATGTAGCACGATTGAAACGTAACAACTCTGTTTTTGGTAGGAAATTCGGCTATGTTGACTTTGCTTCTGAAGAGGACATGAACAAAGCGATGGAACTGAATGGCAAGAAGGTCATGGGTCAGGAGCTGAAGCTGGACAAGGCCCGCAGCAAAGAGAGCTCCCAAGATGGCAAGAAAGGTAAACTGTGCCCAGTTGTTTGGAGGGGGGGTGGTGGTATGTGGCATTTGCGCAGCTGACACTGGCGTTTCCTGCAGAGAGAGACACGCGGACTCTTTTTGTGAAAAATCTCCCCTTCTCCGCAACGGTTGATGACCTGAGGGAACTGTTTGAAGACGCAGTGGACGTGCGGCTACCCCAGGGCCAGAACGGCTCGAACAGAGGGTGAGATCGGGGAAATGGAGTGGGCTGTTTGTCATTATTCGACCTGTCCCATATGCCATCAGGTATTGTTTGGCAGCTCCATCCTCTTCCTGATACAAAGTTTTTCTTTACAGCATCGCCTACATTGAGTTCAAGACTGAGGCGGAAGCAGAGAAGATGTTGGAGGAGGCTCAGGGTGCTGACATCCAGGGAAGATCCATCATGGTCGACTATGTTGGAGAAAAGAGCCAGAAGGGAGCCAGGATGTCAGGTAAAATTTTTGTATTGTATGGAAATGGTGCAGAGCACGATAGAGGTTTAAAAAGGAAAAGTGAATAACAGTTCTCTTAAAGATTATTTTTTCAAACTTCAGTGTGAACTGTTGTGAAATTTGCAATTAAAAAAAAAAAATTGAATTTTATGTGTACTTTCTGACCATAAGGTACATAACATAAATTAGGGTTTGATTTTTTATTCAGAAAATAAGTTTTGAAGATAACATGGGTCATGTATCTGTATCAAACATGTGTCATTAAAGGCTACTGTATGTTTTTTTTGTATCCAAAGGGTCTTTGTTCTGTTGAGGTGAAAATGCTCCCTTTATTCTCCCATCACATCTCTCCTTTTTTCCTGTTTGTAGGAGCAGGCTCCACCAACAAAACCCTGGTGGTGAACAATCTGGCCTTCAGTGCTACAGAGGAAGTGCTGCAGTCCACATTTGAGAAGGCCGTCTCCGTGAGGATTCCACAGAGAGACGGCAGGCCCAAAGGGTGAGTGTTGGAGCTGTTAGCCGAGGTCTCGGTCTGGTGTACCTTCTCATGAGCTCCTCTCAATCTGACCCATGATTCTGCAAGGATTCGCACGAGAAGTAGAGTCAGTGCACAGTCAGAACAGGCCTCCCTGGTTTCCTGTCGGGTGCTGCCCACGTCTGCCGTGCAACAGATGGCGCTGTCTTAGTTTATTAGAATCAGACTTGTAGTTGGATTTAACACGGTTGGTGCTTCTGTCCCCAGTTTTGCCTTTATTGAGTTTGAGAGCATGGAGGATGCCAAGGAAGCTCTGGAAAACTTCAACAACACAGAAATCGAAGGCAGATCAATCCGACTGGAGTACAGCCAGAACAGCGGCGCGAGAGACGGGGGCCGGGGGAACTCGGGTACAGCGTCACACTGTCAAAACACCCCTAAATCTGACCGGATGTGATGAAAACATGATCTCCTGATACTCTGTGACGATTCTAAGATAGTCAAGTCCTGATCTGGTCTGCGGCACGCCCGTCTACGCGCTCTCTCAATTTCCTTCTCTCACCTTTTTGAATTGTCTTTCTTCTCCACCAGGTCCAACAAAGACCCTCTTTGTCAAAGGCCTCTCCGAGGACACGACGGATCAGAGCCTGAAGGAGTCCTTCGAGACCGCCGTCGCTGCCCGGATAGTCACAGACAGAGACACGGGCTCTTCTAAGTGGTGCGTCATTTGGTTTGGTTATTGTCCGTAATCCAGCTAGGCTCTTCTCGTGAGCACCGCCCTGTCTCCAAGTGACGGCGTGCGGATTGGCATGAAAAGTAAAGCGACCTCGCAGTTAAATTTCTTACTGACCAAGTGCGCTCTGTCTCACCAACAGCTTCGGCTTCGTGGACTTTGACAACGAAGACGACTGCAAGGCCGCCAAAGAGGCGATGGAGGACGGCGAGATCGACGGCAGCAGGGTGACCCTGGATTACGCCAAGCCCAAGGGCGAGGGCGGCTTCCGCGGGGGCAGAGGCGGCGGCGGAGGAGGATTTGGCTTTGGAGGCCGTGGAGGTTTCAGGGGAGGCCGTGGAGGCGGCGGCAGAGGGGGAGGAAGGGGAGGTCCTCGTGGTGGTGGACGCGGCGGCGGATTCGGTGGCCGTGGAGGTGAGTTATTTCAGTCAATAGAAATTCATTATCAGAGCACAAAACTGGAAGGGAGGTAATTCCAGGCTTTTAACTTTTATCAACCATTTTCATTTCAGGTGGAAGAGGGGGAGGATTTGGAGCGAAACCCCAGGGGAAGAAGATCAAGTTTGACGACTAAAGTCTTTTAAATTTTGAATGGACTCTGGTTTCATCAATCTTCAGAGCTTTTGGACATTCCAGAAAGCATCATTGGTATATATATTTAACTGTAAACAGGCATTTTTAGCCCTGTATTTAGACCCCTCGTACCGACTACGCCCCCCCTGTGCCAGAATGGTACCCTGACCTTCTCAGCTTCAGTGCTAAGTGTGAAAACCGAATGTCCTGAACGGAAGCCTGCACCTCTCGCCCTCCTCAACTGTCTTTTTTTCCGAAGGAGTAAAATGGAATGGGTCTGGCAAGCAAGCGTCCTGTGAAAAATGTGCTTGCCTTGTCGGATGCATTGTGTAAATGTAAACAGTTTGTATGATTTTCATTTTACCTTTTGTAAAAAAACAAAATGAAACAAATGATTACACTTGTATCCATGTTTTATTTTGTCGTTTAAGTTTCTTTAGAAGTTTTACTGTGCAAATTCATATTTTGGTAGTCCTCTTCGCTTTGGATGTTTATAATGGTTGTCTGATGGAGCCGAGTTGGTTGGGTCATTGATGAAAGACATGTAACATAAAATGTTTGTAGTGCATCGACTAAATCTTTCGTTGGTTCCCCCCATCTCAGATTTTTCACATCATGAAATAAACCATTGTACGTGATTTGGTGTTTTTTTTTCTTTCTTTTTTTTTTTTTTACGGAAACCTGCCATGTCAAACAGGCTCGGGTTAGCTGCAGGATTTGTACGGTATAAAATTAATTTCCTTAGTTTGGCACCTAAATCTGGTTCACAACTTGATGGAAGATGAGCAATGCACAGTTCCTGTACAGAAAGGATTGTAGATTTGGCCTTTGCCGCCAACAGCCTAAAGTAGTAGTAGTAGTAGGTCATGATCACCAGTAGGGGGCAGTCAGTGCCAGCATCTGCACCCTGAGAAGGCTGAGCGGTCTCAGGTTTGATACCAATACCTGTATGCTTGTGAGGCAGGAAACTATTTTCAGAAATCTATCTCTGGGTAAACTCAGTATATCAAATATTATTTATTGCCTTAACATTGCAATTTTTTTTTCTTGTTTTTTGGCAATGATTTTGTCTTTAATCAATCACCTAAAACTTTAATGTAGGTGTCATTGAAGTTGACACTGAAATGAATGAGAAGCACCGTGACAGTCTCCAAACCTCCAGACGTTTGTCACAGCTATGAGGAAATAACTTATGTGATTTTTTGCCACAACTTTTATCCAACTTTTAAATTTTTTTTCATCTTTGTTATAAACAACGCATGTAAAAGCGTGTGGAATGGAAAAGCGTGTGGAATGGAACCTGTTATATTTTCTTGGAAAAGGGCAATCGAATCTAATCGTTTTACCCTGACCCCCCACTGATAAGTGATCTGATCTGTCGGTGACAAAGACAGACAGAGGACAGCAGAACGTTGTCGCTTTACAGTTCTGGCTGCTGAAACAGGGATCTTTGTTCCCAAAGGTTTGTGGTTGGAGGGTGTGATGATGGCACCCATGAATAACTCCATTTAGGGATTTGTTGCCTCCCGCCTCTAAAGATGACAGAGGTCATGCTGGCTTTTCTCTGAGGCATGATGTCGGCTGTCTAGGGTGACCCGTGTGCTTTCTTTTCTGTTTTACCTCAGGATGCTCCATTCAGGTTATCCTACATTGTGTCTTTACCTCTGTCCTGAAGTAATAGTGATATTCTTTACAGAGGATATGTCAGACCTTAAAGAGATATTCCCCATGTAAAAAAAAGTGGTTCTCCTTTCATCAAAGCCACAACAAACATTAATACAATTATTCCCTGTTGCAGAAGCCAGCATGCCATGTTTTGACTTGAACATTTGCATTTTTTACTTCTCTATTTTTGTTGCTCATTTGGACTGGACTCCAAACTGAAAGTTTGGATCTATTCACCAATCTGTACAGAGTACTTCTGGTCTTAAATGTAATCTACTATATACATAGTTTGTGGACAGGACTGTTAGCAGACAGTAAGTCTGGGAATTGTATTTTTAGTTTTATCTGAAGCACACTCCTGTCTAAAGCCATGCCAGGGATGATTCTCAAAGAAAGGCCTTTGAAGAAAATAGAGGTCTGGTGTGAAAACCGGCTGACCCAGGGCCAAAGCTGACATCAAAAGCTCCCCCCAATTAGTGTCAGCAAATAGAACGCTCTCAGTCAGCAAGCAGAGGAGAAAGCTGGCAGTTTATACACTTACAGCCCACTTTCATCAACAAAGTGGGACATTTACTTTAGATTACAGTAAGTCTTGGCCAGTAGTTGATAAGTCAGTTCTCTGAGCAGCACACAGCCTGTGTCGCAACCTTTTTGTCATTAAGTCTAGGAAAAATTCCAAATGATTATTAAAGTTGATCGTTTATGTGAAGTGCATACATTTGGCTTTTATTTCTGGGTTTTAGGTCCTCACTGACAACCCCAGCTTTGCAGTGCTACGTGAGAAATGGACTCAGGTTTAGTTTCTTGTTGGAAAACCAATCAAGTGGAGAACTCCAGAAGTCCAGTGAGTGAAAAATAGATTTAAATAACTTAATGTAAATTACATAAAATCCAATTTTCACTGTAAATAAATGATAAAAAGGTCCATCAAAGATCATTTGCATGAGGATTTTGATGGATGAAGCAAATTTTTTAAAAAGTTTTTCATGGTTTCTGATGGTTTGACTCTTCACACAATGTGAGCAAAAAGTTGAACTCCCTAAAGAGAAAATTATCAATGGTAAAAGATTGTATTCCCATTATTAGAATGATTTTTTTATGCAAGTGACATAAACTGACTATATTAAATTTCTTAAGTCATGCCATTTAATCATCCATGCAAAGACAAAGCAAACAAACACAGGAATAAGACTGTGAATCATTGCATTCTTCTGCAAGATGGAGCTTATGGGAGAAGAAATGAGGTGAAGTGGATGACTGCTGTGGTCTGACAGAGTTGCTGGTCTTACGTGGAAATGGGTTCGTATTGTAAACACCCAATTAATCATTCATATCAAGATTGACGCTTATGAACTTTCTGGATAAAAGCACAACTGAGATACTGCACATAAACCTTTACGCTGAGCTCAATTCTCTCACACAGACACAGTATAGCATTTGTTTCTTTATACAGAGTTTGGACTTCCTCCCAACCTACAGTTCTGTTTCCAGTAATTTATCCTTTAACCCACCTCTCAAGCCTTCGGGGAAATTCAAACTGAGAAAGTATGGGAATCGTCATAATGCCATAATTGTTGTTACATAAGCAAATTGATTTCAACAGAAACACAGCAAGTGATAGTAACATTCTTGCGGGTTGATAAATGATACAACCGTCCAACAATACAGACAATTCCGCCCACAGGTTTAACTGCAGATCACCTCAACTATATAACAAAGAGCAGGGTTGAAAGAGATAAACCTCAAGGTATGCTTCTGTTTTGGCCTGAGAGAAACACGATTAAAAGAAGATCCAGTTTCTCGTCACTGTGTTGTCCTTGGCCCTGGAGGAGAGTGTGATGTCTTTGTCTTTTGTGGGGGACTCAAAGCCTTCTACAGTATGCTCGCTGTACAGTATCAGTCTCTGCGGCTCTCGTGTTAAGTAATAAAAAGGACACATTATTGGACGGGGGAAATCTTACATAAACAGTGTGAAATATCACACTAAGTCAGTTGAAGGTGATGTTACTTTCTGAGAAACTCGAGCGGTATGGACGCCCACTATGTTTAGAAAATCATTCTATGATATTTTTTCATAGTTTAATGAAAGTATGGAAGTTATCAAAGATATTCTTATTGTTTTCCAGCTTCGTGTCAGGCAGACAGAGAGAACTGACTGTTCAAATAAATCTGATTTTGATAATACTATAGCAACGTTGGTGCTTCAGCATATAGGTTTCCCTGCCTGTAAATTTGTGTAACTGATACGCCTATGTCAACACATGACACCTTTGTGCGATGACCTGATCAGTATTTTCACATCGATGTTAGGTGCTGATAAGCCGAAACACAATAACGCCAATATAGGACAACTGTATTGTCAAGTTGTTTATTTACAATAGGACCCTATGTACACACAGATCTTTACACAGGTTTATATAACCTAGACATAAATCTTCAACCACTTCACCCACATCATTCAATGATTTTGGGATGTTCCATTAAAAGGTTTACTGCTCGCTTTTAAAAGCGTAAAAAACCCCGCTTGGGCCCCCTGTTATTGGGGGACTAATCAAAATATCGCGCCATACAGTCGTACCAGCAAGAAAAGTTTCAGTTCACAGTGTCGTTGCTCACCATTAACCAAATTTATGTCAAGTAGAAGTCGGCACATTCAAATCGACAGATAACACATGTAAATACTGCACATATTTCCAGTGGTACACATGCTAAGGATGTTTAAATTAAGCCAGTCATATTTCAAATATGGACTGCGAGGAGTGCAACTGACGTATGTGTGTTTGCGTGAATACATGTGCATGAAATAAAAAGTGGCCACTTATATTGAAATGTGTTTTTTTTTTCCCAAGTCAGTGAGGTAGATGTATTTCTTCTCTGACTTTTAACTGTCTTCAGTCATCAGAGTATTCCAAACTGTTTCAAATTGAAGCAATGTATATCCCCGTTAAATCCACGTGCTCTGACTCTCAAAAAGCAACACCTCTTAACTAACCAAAGGCACAATAAGTTACATCAAATAAAACACTCATTCATCATCTGTCCTTTTAAATGAAAATGAACTGTAAAACTTAAATGTTGTCACATTAGTGGGTTTCATTTCCAGAGATGATTTACAACGTTGAATGTTCCTGATTCAACAAAATCCCTCCACCACACCAAATTAGAGGGATCCCACCCTGACCGTTGAGAAAGACATGAGGAGGATGTACGTTTCCGACAGAACCCAAAAAACATAACATTAAATAACAGAATAAAATACCATTCACGCAGCAGCTCCGCTTAGGTGCTGTTTCTGAATTTGAGTGCTGACGGTGTCCCTTTTCAAAACCCCAATATAAATACACAATTCTAGATAAGCTTTTTTTTAAAAAAGTCCTTATAATTTACTTTTGAGGAAGTCCTTAAAAGGTGCTCTCTGAAGCTATAGGAGCTCCATTTTCTGTGAGCACACCAGGTCGGTGTTGACCAGGTTCCACATGTGCATGAGGTCTGATGGGAGCAGCTTGTGCACCACGATCATGTTTTTGAAGAAACACGGCTCCCGGTTCATCTTGCTCTTCTTATTTTTCACCAAGCCGAACGTCTTAAAGGCATTGTGTTTCACGGGCGTGACCTGCAGTACCTCCAGACACATGCCCAGGAAGACGTCGTCGATGGGGTAAAGCTCCAGGGTGTCCGCAGCCCCGTGGAGCCTTCGAACCAGCGTTCCATCCATCAAAAAACCTCCTCCGCCCGCATACGGAGGGTAGTATGTCTTATCGTACAAAGCCAGAGGGATGTAATATTTGTTGTCTTTTTTGCGAATGGGTTTAGCCTTGAAAATCACATCCCCCACGAAGAGGTTCTTCTCCCGACTGCTGCTCTCTAGGAACTCAAAAATGTTCTCCACGCTGACGAAGACGTCGTCGTCCCCCTTGAAGACGTAGCGCACGCTGGGGCAGTACGTGTGGAACCACTTGAGGAAATGGGTCTCCTTGAGAGTCAGGTTGAAGAAGGTATCTAAGAAGTCCCACTGTATGATATCCCCAAAGATGTAGTCTTCATACTCCACGAGTTTCTGGTGGTTCGCTCTTTCCACTTCGCTGGAGGGCTTTCCGAGAAGGAAGAGGGTCTTTATCCTCTTGCCATCCACCAGCCGCTCTTTGCCCCAGGTTTTTCGAATGACCTCCCTGCGATCGTACTGGGTAGCCACCGATTTAACGACCATCAGCAAATATATGTCCCCCGTGCACTTCTCTGGGTGGTTGAGGAGCATGGGGAAAAAACGACAGTGTCGATACAGCATGAACTGCTTGAAGCTTTTCTCCAGGCCATTGAACCAGGCCTGGCCAGAGAGGTTGAGGTTGGCACTGCAGTTAGAGCTGGTTACATCCCAGGTACCCCGAATTTGGTTTTCAGTGACTCTGGGCTCCGCCGTCGTCAGGCGAGCTTTAGGCCGTGGCCTACCGGCATTCCAGAAACCTTTCATCCCCAAGTACGTGCTCATTTTCTCCTCCAGACCTCCTCTGGGCGCCACTCCTTCAGAAGCGTGCATGCGAGTCTGTCTTTCGAGCGCAAAGGGAGCCCCCATGTTGATGCTCCCCCTCTGGACGACTGTCAGTGCCACCACGGCCACGAAGAACATGATACTCACGCTCTTATACACTCTCCTGCGATCTCTGTTCTTCATTCTACAGAAGGAAAGAATTTTGAACATGTGTCAGGTCAGACAGACTTATCTACCGTACGTATTACAAAAAGAATGCTAGATATTCAATGACTTCACAGAAAACACAGCATGCTGAGAATTTAAGAAGTATCAAACACGAATCTCCTTTCATACAATACATGTGCATTATAAACTGTTTATGGTCTATAGTAGTCAGTCTTGCGAAGACGAGCACACTTTTCCACTCCTATGTCGTAAAATTTTCCTTACAGACACATATGGTGCTTTAGAACCAGAAAAGTATAACCTATAGGAAGACTGAAACTGTAGTAGTATTGATTTTTTACAAAATATTTTTTATGAAGTGAAACTATGAAGTATTTGTTTCATAATTCCATGTCATGCCGGGCTTGTTTCATCCAGGACCCCTGAAACAACCCAATATGGGCCCCAATGCCTCCAAGGGTGTTTATCTTTTTCTACCTCCCCCACCTTTACCACCAACAGGTTTAGACATGATTTTGTTTAGAGACATTGAGTTACAGAAGTAATAAAGAGAGGAACAAAAAATGTATATTTAATTTAGTCTTTGCTGATCTTCATCAGTCGGTGGTGATATAGTAAAAAAAAACAATTCCATTTAGTTCGTCGTTTTTAGCTCATAACATCACTTTGAAATTTCGAATAAAATTTGACATTCACAGCAATAACTTTGTCTGATTTGTCTTAAAAATATTTCCCCCGGAAGTTTATTCGTGGGGAGCCCCATCCTTATCTCCTCAACTGATTGACTTATTGACTCCTAAAAGTGTCTTTTTTCCAACTAACTCCTTAGAAGAATCTCAACATTCCGATTGACCGTCCCTTAAGCAGGCTCGAGTGAAGTCTAACAGAAGCCTAGTTGAATAAAGGAGATACATTTTTTAAAAAAGAGCGAAAGACGCAACTTACATGGTTTCTCCTCTGCTTTTGATGCGGCTGAGTGACGGTTAAAAAGTGAAAGTTCTTACGACCGAGAGTAGGAAAGTGGGTTCGCTTCACTGTATGTGTCTGTAGTTTGAGTAGGAAAATCTCAAACTATCTCTGTCCTCCGGAGCGGTCTTGGAGCAGCGGGTGGGACGGTTCGTGCGCTCCGTGGCTCAGACGCGCGCTGTGATCTCTGCACAGGACTGTGGAGCCGCTTTTAAGAGCCCTGTTACGCAGTCAACGCGTAAAACAGGATGTGGGTCACGAATGAACGGTGGGGCGTTACGGGCATAAGCTCACAGAGCCCTACTAGTTTTTTTTCTTATCGGGCATATTAAATGCGTAATTGAAAATGGCCTTAAGGTTTCCAATCAAAGAGGGGCTACACTGAATTTTTTAACTGTATTGTCAAATACGTAATATATTTGGTTATTCCAAACTCAATTAATTCTGGTTGAAAACCTACCATCTTCCCATAGCCTGACCTTATTGTCAAAGCTTATTAATCATACTCTATTTCACTTTGATCACACAAAGATTCATTGTAATTTTAGTCCTTTTTCTGCTGTGCATTGTTTAAATGTCCGCCCAACGTTTTTAAATTCTCTCAGGTTTTCCCCCACTTTATCCTTTTATCCTTTTTATTCTCATCTTCATGTGGTAACAACTCATTTAGCCAAAGCACAACTTAACTCAGATGCATCCTACTTGTGTCAATATGGCATTATGTTAAGATCCTTTTCTGCTTGACTGAAGTCAATTTGTCTTCCAAAAGAATTACTGGACATGTTTATGTTACAGACTTCTGTTTGTAAGGTCTAAAGGCGGAAAATGGAGGTCGGAATGAAAACTGATTCACGAGACTACGACAAGCTTAAATATTTATTTATTCTGTGAGAGTTTGGCTGTTGCTTGTGGCCATATGGAGGAAATAACTGAGTTAAACCTCAACAGGAATACAGAAAGAAAGGTCCTGTCTATTCTGTAAAATCCCTATTTTTTGTGAGCAAAAAGCAGACACCAATCAACCAAAAAACAATAAATTGAATCCATTAATTGTCTATTAGTTAATGTTATGTCCTGATAACTTTTGTCTTTTCATTTGGATTACATAAGATTTATTATAATCTACAATGTACTCCTTTCCACTCTCGCTGAGTAACTTATTTACGTCATAAAACAAAACTAATACAAGTCCAATATAATCAACGTATGTTTGCTCAGCTCTTGAATACAAGCCCCACCTTGGATAAATTGCGTCCACAGCTGTTCATTCCCCCATCCATCTTTTTAACTCAAACTAATAAATTCTAAATAGGTCAGTGTTCATCGCTGCATTTTGCTCCTTTCTACCTCATTCAGTTGCAGCCATATCATTCATCCAATGAATTTATACAATTAACTCTACAATTAACTATGTAACACAATCAGGTGTAACTACTTTCTGTGGTTAAACCTTTTCTACAGTGTGATCATGTAGTGTGCGATAGTATCACTGATGTCGGCTAGAGGGCCTTGTGTTAATAAAGAGGTTTTTCAGCTTTCTAGCCTGTAGTCACACAGCGACATCTCATGAAAAGGAAATGTTGTAGTTTGAATGAGCATTTTAGGATCATTATCATTTTCTTTATGAGTGATTTAAAACTTGTACCTTTGAAATATTTCTATATCTTCATAAAACAATATCTGGAATGCTGAAAGCACACCCATTACCACAACAACCACACTTTACCCGTACCGTGGTAAAATGTTTCCCTTCTCTACTTCAAAACATTTTCTTTTTCAATCTCAGCACAGCTGCGATTCAAAATCTCTCCTTCCTCTCCTCTCTCCATTTCCTGCATCCAGCCAGCCATCCTTCTCAGGCACATGTGTATCCTGTTGCCTACAGGCTCTGTTCTTTTCCGTTTAGTAAAAAAAAAAAAATCTCTTTGTGATTTGGCCTGTGCAAGTTCTGTACGAGGAATGAAGCGGCGATGGACACCACAGCAAATATTTTTTTTCTAGTTTTCTAGTCACACTAGTCCAACAAAGCCTTTCGCCTATAACATTTACAATAAAGTGTTATTGGTCAATTTATGACCACTATCGATTTGTTTCAGATATAAGACTTATTGTGACCTAGTGGTATGGTCCATTTGAAGTCTTATGACAGATTTTCATGATTTATTTGCTATTTCCTTTTGACAAGTAGATGAAACTTCAGGTCTCTTCTTTTTACTTGAGGTCTCCATCACCATCACCATCAATAACTTCTCCATAGGTTGAAAATGCACCATCGGGACTACATTCACCTCATTTGTAGGCTTTAGACTTTAGCCTGCTGTACAAACCAATGGGTCTTACTTGATGTTTTTCCTTGAGTTTGATGCACTCAGCATAACCACTCAACATGGCTTGAAAGGACACGTTGACAACAAAGTTCAGCCGTGGGGGTGGGTGACCCATCTGTTTAAAGGGCCCGGACAGGAGGAAACAGGAGGTTAGGGAGACAGACATTGGATGGTTGTCTCTTCTTGGACAGTGGCACATTTTATCAGCTGTGCACACGGCCGTCTACTGATAAACAGAGCTGAAATGTCAGCCGGTGATACTGATGACGTCAGTTGTTCCTTTCCTACCTACTTTAGAGAATTCCATGCCACAAAACTGAATAATCAGCCTCCTAAAATGGATTCCAACAAGGACCACCAAAGAAAAATGCATAATTTCACATTAATTTCTATATGCCTATGCACTCTTATTTCAGTTCAGTTATTCTATTGGACCATTTTCCGTATCTGTGAGCGCCCTACTGTTAGTGTTTGTTCACATGTTTGTTTTGAGAATAAGCAGCAGTTTCCTCCTCTACAGCTGAACAGTTCTAGTGTGGCTTGGCGGTGATATTGCCACCTGGCCACGAGTGCGTCAGCCTGTCATGTCCAACGTGTTTCCTCACATTGTGCTGGTTCTCAAAGGGGCTGCGTTCATTATGTCAACCACTGAATAAGTCATCTATCAGTGGATGTGCAAGCTACCAAGACTTGCACTGCCAAAACAAGCAGTGCATTTTCTTGTCTTGATTTTAGACATCTGAGGTCGAACGAGCATTCCTATGAAGGCCAACACTGTTGGGCATCTAGGATTCTGAATCCGGAGAGCTAAATGGTTAAAAAGAAAAATTGTGAAATTCACATCTTTTCTCTTTATTTTGCTTACTTTTTTTTCCCGGAAAGCATCGGTCACATTGGTCACCAGTGTGATCCAGAGACAGGTCACAAAGTTGAGCTGTGTTTCGACACAGCTCAACAATGGATACTCACCATTGTGAAATTACACCAATATACCTTTTGACACCTCGTGCAGCAGGTGAAGCAGGTGCGATGGCTTTGGCTTTCGGAGGAAAAAGTGTCATTCATTGTAGTGTTTCCTCAACTTCCTTATTGCTCTGACAATCACTTTTAAAACAACAAACATCTTACTCGAAAAGCACTTGCACCTTAATGCAAATCCCAACACAGAACCATATCAGCTCACACATAATCAATCAATTAAGTCTTGGTTTTATTTAAGTCTAGCCACTGATAAAAGAGGAGAAAATAGAGGAGGGCTTAGGGAGGAGGGTGCAGAGGAAGGAGACTAAGGTTTTAAAGTACTCAATGCTATTCACATGTTCTTTCTTAAAGACTTAAATGTGAACATTCATGTGTTTCCAGGATGTTTGTCACTTTCAGGAAGTTGAATCAAAGGAAAAATCTTATTCCGATCAAAAAATCCGTCTTCCGTCTTCATTGAGACAAAAAAAAAATTCCTCGATTCAGTGCCACGGTGAGCGAATTAGGCAATTTGTGGCTGGTAATACGATACTTGTGGGCAAGAGATTCACCGGCTTCCTACTGTGAAGTACAATGAAGTCAAAAAGCCTTGAATAGCCAAATACTCGGAGCAGTGACAGGAGAAGGTAAGACAAACTGCCAAGATGTGCAAAACGCGTAAAGTGACAGAAATTTATTGAAAACATCTGAAAATGTGTCATCTTTCTAAACAGACTGTAACATAAATGTAGCACAGAACATAAATACACATCATCACACCTGAAATTTACAAAAAAATAGTGTGATTTCGAGACTTTCACGACAAAAAAATTCAAGTAAAAATCAGTTCATTTTCCCTCAGTTTTTGTATTAATAAAATTAAGACTATATCGTTTTTAAAGCATGCACTAAGTCTGCTGAGTCATTCCAGGAACTGTATTTCCTGCAGTGTCACATAACCAGGAACAGCTACTTTCATACAGGTATGAAATGGGAGTTCAGCGTATGATTTACATTTCTATCAGAACTTCAAAAGACTTATCTGGAAAAATTCACTATGACGGCTGAAATATTGTAAACAAAATGCATTAGAATAGTGAAATCCTCTGGATCTATGACATGTAGAAGAAAGATGGGAAGTAAGACTTCTATCCCTGACTGAAAAAGGCCGATCTGCAAATCTGTTTACTTTAGAGGTTAGAAAACAGTAAGACACAAAACAAACAGTACAGATGATTTTCTTATAGATGGCTAAAACATTCTCGTTAGAGTCGTGTTCCTTTTGTTAGAGCAAGAATCCAAATTGTATCTTGTTACACGGATGTTTTTGATTGCTCAGAGCGTTTCAAACTGTATCTTTAGGAGAGAGACTTCAAGGAGGGTTGAAGGTGCACAGGTTTGCATGACTTGGAGGGAGGGGGGGGTGGTAGTGATTATTGTCTTTCTTCATATTATGTTACAAAAGTAGCCTGTGTTGAAGCCAAAGAGGGGGGGGAAATGCTGGGCCACAATCCGACACATTGTTCCACCCACTTCTCTTCCTCCTCTCGCTGCTGCAGCTGATGCTTCACCATCTCTGTCGCCATGACCCTGATCATAACCTGAGGGGATGATGTTACAGGAAGCCTGACGCTCCTGGGGAGATAGCGCTACCCCCTGGTGACAGCTCCCTCCTCACCTCCTCTTTGACTGACTGCCTGAAGGTGGAAAGAGAAGAGGAACAGATGAAGAAAAGGAAGAGTGTGTGGAGCATCTGCTCCATCTTATTTACTGTAGGAGTATTTTCAATTTACACCACCACACAGGACATTAAACCTTAGTGTCTCCACACCAGAGGTGCCAGGTTTCCATCACATTTACAAAAAGAAGAAAAGACATCTTCCTGATTTAACAAAGCGAGGAGGGGGAAAAAAACTAACTTATTTCCTGTTGACAGTTGTCACTGAGGACAAGGATAAGCGTCCTAAGAAAGACTGTTGAACTTCCTGTCTTTGCTGGTTGCATGGCAACATAATGGTGATCTGTCATCACATTTAGTCAGCTTGGCTGACCTGTCTTGACTAACGCAAAGCTGCATTTTCCGTCCTCTCAACAAGGATAGAGGCTCCCCTCTTTATTTGCGCTGACTGAGTGGGTGGCCCGGCCTGCAACACAAACGCCTCCCCCATCTTTCCTTAGCCAAAGGAGCGTCTCAGCACTGGTGTGTACCTAAGGCAGGTCGAAAACAAATCTGGCCTGTCTGCGGGGTTTGCAGCGTGATGACATTCCACCAGCCCAGCAAATATTAGTTGTGTTTACGCTTTCTGAGAACAGACCATGTTCAGGTGTATGTCAATTGAAGGATGGAACCGTGAAAAAAAAAGACTAACAGATTCCTTTAAACATGCAAAAAAAAAACACACACAAAAAAAAAAGCTATAAAAAGGCTAAGTGAAGAAACTGACTTTCTGTATTCGCTGCCATGTGTCTGCTTACTGTCCTCTAAGCTGAGCTCTGATCACGCTGAACGGGTTCCTCGTGAGCCAATAGATGTCAGACACTTGCCAGACTTCAAAAGTGCACCACACTCAAGAGAGGATGTGGTACTTTTGAGAGAGCATTAGGTGCTGTTACAAGCTTTATGGTAAGAGCGGCCGGCGGAAGAGCTGGAGGTCTTCTAAAATGCAGTTAAGATCCATGAGAGCATCAAGAGATCTTATCAACGGGCTAAGAGCACCAGATCTTTTCTGCAGTGACTCAAGTTCTTTGTGCAAGATATGAAGTTGACAGCTATGAACGCTGGTTGGTTTGCAGAGACTGAAAACTTAACACGATTAGTGTTTTTAACTGGGTGGCAAAGACACGGGGGTCACTGTGCCGTTCTGCTGGGTGTGGCTTTGGCTGGCTTATGAACGATAAAAGAAAAAAACTCACTACTGGCTCTGCAGGCATTGTCCAACAACAGCACAAATCTCTTTGTTGTAGGAACTAAATAGGTTATAATAAACATATGCCCTCTGCCAACGTCCTTTGTCCCACACAGACAAAAGAAAATCCTTTAATAAGTCATGATAAGGATTATAAAAAGTCTGACGTTTTGCTTTTTGGAACCTAATCGATTCAATAGCTCAAAGTTATGCAAAAGCTCGGAAAAGAGCATAATGTCGGATATAGTGACAGACTTCCAGTTGATACTTTGTAACTCAAGAAGTGAGCTCACAGAAATGGATAGTTGTTTATCTGCTCACAATCAATTATGCCTTTGTTAAGAGAAGTCAGTTCATCCTTCAGTTACCAGGATGGACTGCTTTGGTAAACATATCCGTAAAAAGCGCAGCAAAAGCCAAATGTAAAAAAAAAAGATTGGTGGTTGGAGGGGGGGAGACAGTCATGATGCATCTATGTCAGGAAGCTAAACTTTTGTGTGGAAATGTACAAAAGACTCAAGGTTTAGTCTTGACAAACACCAGAATCAAAAGGTAGCTGCCAAGCTGAAAGGCTTTATCTTAAATTAATTGATTCATGACGTCATATAACTAAGAAACTCTGCATATATCTTTATGAATGTAGGTAAGAGGCTCAAACAGCCACAGGAAAGCTGTTTATATGCCTTCTTCCAGTATCCAGCCAAGTGTTTCTACGCCAACTGGTTTTCACTCAACACCCAAATCATGATGGGCACTTCTCCAAAGTTGCTGGCAAAGGATATGAAGCAACCGGCTGGAGCCAAAGTTTGCCAGCATTGGCTGGAGGCTGGTGTTGACTTCCCACCTTTAGCATATGCTCACCTCCATTTCCTGTGGAGCTGGCGGAGCCGGGCCGGCTGCTCTGCCGGGGCTCCGAATGGGAAAACTGGGGAGCCAGGGCTGGCCCGCGATCCCGAGGGGAGCTGGTGACCGTGGTGTCAGGTGTGCGGGGAATCTCGCGCTGGCTTTTAAATGCAGATATATAATCACTGCTGTTGATGAGAGGAAGAAAAGAGAGAGAGAAAGGATTGCTTTAAGTTTTTTCATGGCTTTAAAGAAAAAAAAGATTAGTGTTATCCTGGGCATGAGATGAACAGCGCACAAGGCCCCCTGACCCTGACATTTTAAAGTATCTGTTTCAGTCGATGGCTTCTATTCTGGCGATACGCTATTGATGACTTGGATAGCTTAGAATCCATACAGATGGTGAGGCAATACTTTTCAGATTGTGTAATATTCTACAGTCTCAAGCTTGTCTCAATGAACGCTTGTTTTTAGTTTAAACCACACCTCATCAGCCTTTTTTTGATCATTTTAAAGTATAATTATATTAAACTTATTATACCTGACTCGACCTGACTTTATTAGACTCAGCTTGAATTTATATAATTCTCTATCTGTGTCAAAATCTAATGCCCTTATAGAAGGAGGCTAAATGACTCACATCCTGAGCAGCAACATTGCACCAATCGGGTGGATGTATCTTCTGCTCTTGGCTCCCACTTCCTTGATATCATCTGCCACAGCGTAATGTTACGAGCTGTGATTTAAACTGCCATCAGTGTTGCGCTAATTGCCTTCGGTCTTAAAAATCCAACTCATTCATCTGAATGAGAAACAGCCCGACTATCCCCCCGGTGTTTCCTTGAAGAACTACTTTGCCCCTCCTGACACTGTTTATTTGTCTCAGATCAACTACAGAAAGACACATGTGCTTATCCTGTGTTTGCCACGTTGCTGCGTTGCTAGGATTCTATTCTCCCCAATATGAAGGCTCTTTTCATCTCTTTATAAAAGTCCTGCCATCCAGACTGTAGCGAAATGAGGCTGTCCGGTTAAGCCTCAGCCAGGGAGTATTGTGGGGGTGTTTTACGTTCCTGGGTCGGGGGGGATAACTGGGAATCATTACTGCTATTGGGATTCGGGAGTCAAGTTCGTCAGGGATTTAAAGGAGAGTAGAAGCATGGGCGCTTCGATTGAATGGGTCTCTTTGTGGCCATAACTCGTTTAAACGCATGTCACAGTCTCAGAGAGCAGCTTGGCAGTGCTGAGTCACCCATCGGTGTCCAACAATACTCTTGCCAACTCTCTCCAAAGACACACACAAACTTCTTTGGGTTGCCAAAGAAACTCTGCAGCTTTATGTTTCTTGTTTTTTATATGCTTCCATCCTTCACAGCCTGGCCAGTAGATTAACTGAACACGTGATTTAACTGTTACCTATAGGTTAATATTACAGAGAGCAATTGTGTCTGCGTGTCATACTGCCAAAGCTGTCTATGCTGTAATCAACACAGTTACTAGGTTACAAACGCAGCCGTATAATCAGGGCAATTTCTGGAGATTCTAAACCGGTTTCCATCTCTGCTGCTGTTTCAACAGTTTGAAAACTCTGAGTTTGTTCTTTGCAAATATAAAAGATGGATGGGCTGCCCTTAGAAAAATCAGACCACAATCGGGGCTGATTTCACTTCAACATATGTGCCAACTGTTCAATGGCAAGCTGTTATCAAAAAGGATCTTTGGAGATGTTTGAAGGGAGTCTGTTCATTTGAGACCGGAATTGACTCTGAGAACTAAATAGAATTGACATACGACAGGGAATATAGGAGAGATAAGGCTATGACGGAGTGTGTGACAGGCTAAGTTAACATCTGAGAAATCAACTCCCACAAAGACAGGGAGAAGTAGGTGTCCGAGGATATAGACAAGGATTTATAGGGGATTCTGAAGAAGAAAAAAAACAAGAGAGCATAAAGTGGACACTGAGTGAAAACAGGACTGTATGTCCACATTAAAAAGCATTAAGCAAGTATTGTGAATTCAATAGGACCTCCTCAGCTTCAGGCTTAGACTGTGCTATCTTGTTCAACAGGATTTAGCTTATCCTTTATAAGCCTGTGGAGATCTGTTTTTGCAGCCATCTATCGGAGCAGCAGGGTCAGACCCCGCGACTCGGAGAAGTTAGGCAGGCTGATAAAGAAGACAGACTGTCTGTTGTGGACTGCTCTGGAGCTGATTGTGCCGACAGAATGTTGCAAATGCTGCACAATGTAACAAACAATGTGGCACACCCTCAGCTAAGTAAAGTGGTCAAACAGTGAAATGTATTCAACCAGAGGCTCCTTCAGATCTGCTGCTATAAGAACATTACATGTATTAGTAGGTACTTATTCCTGCCCGCTCTTTAAATATTCACCCATCCTAAGCTTTCAAAACAGTGACTTGTGACTTTTAACTGTTTTAATTCTCTATGTGTTCGATTTCCCATTTCCTATAAGATGTTTTGGAAGCTCACTCCCACCTAAGCAGGAGCAGGCTTCTGGGCACCCCTAACTTGTCACTGATAGATACCTGCCCTTGTCAGGCCTCATTTTCACTGTTTTTCACTGTAATTTTCTCTTGCAGTCTCTCCTCTGCTCGCTCCCTTGACATGTACTGTTTCTCACAGTACATGCAAATTATTTGCAAATGTGAATTTCCTGAAAAATTCACATGGAATCCAGTGAGGAAGTATTCTAAGTTTTAGACACAAAATGTTTGCTTCAGTTGATAATCACAACTAGTGTCTCCTTTCTTAAGTTAAAATTTTCCCAGTGTGACTTCATGGTTAAATAAATATGAATTTCTTATGGCATGATTGATGAAGTAAAATTGAAACTAAATCAACCTGAACCTTTCACTACCATTTTTATAATTATTTTGAAACCGCATTTCAAAGCAACTATCCACCCTTCCATTTTCGGAACCGGTTATTCCAAAATGGAGTTGCGGGGGGGGCTGGAGCCTTGGTTTACTATTACAAATATCTTGAAATCATATAGCTTCCATTATGAGTCTATAAATAGAAATCAGAGAAAAACAACTTTGTAAGTCGTATCAAAACCAAATGCTATGGCATTACAAAAGGTTGATGAACACAAATAAACAAAAAAATAAATACAGCAGATTCTGATTTTGAATAATCCTATACATACAGATATTCTGATTTTGTGGTTAGTCTCAATAGAAACTAATCCTCGGCCATTGTGGGTCATGTCGTGAGCCCTGCTAAATAAAAATGATGTCATTTAGGAAAGCCCTTTTTGTTCACAATAATGTGAACTTGATGGATGAACAAATGTGGGAAAAAACAAGCATATCTTTTAGCCACTTGGAAGATGCTCTCCAAATAGGCTAAAGTCACCAGACCCTGTCTGTGTATGCAGTTAACATTTACCTGCTAGAGTCTCCGTTGTGTTCCGACTGGAAATGTCCTTTCCTGGTTGCTCCTGCATACTGCCCATCTAACTCCGAATTCTGTGAGAATCGCCCACACTCTGAGTCTAAATGAGTGTCACAGAGAGTAGAAAAAGGAATGATGCCAGGCTTTGTAACAGACTTGTAATAAACAGAATGCAACAAAAGTCAGTGAAAACTGTCATCCCTACACACATTCACACACCAGTGGATGCACCAGTAGGCAGCGTGGCCTGAAGGAACATGGAGTCGAACCACTGACTCTTCAATCAGTAGGCGACTGCTCTCTCCTACTGAGTCGCAGCCGCCAGAGAACACAAATGAATGTGTGAGACAAAATGGAGCCCTTAAAGTATCAACCAATAAGATGGTAGTTTCAGTTCAATTAAACTATAAAACTTATCACAAAAATAAAATGCTGATAAATGCATGTTGTGTCAAGAACCTTTCGGTGTTCGTTTTCAGATTTCAGATTCTTAAAAGGTTTCTTGAGCCCGATTATCTAGTAGTGCTTTGAGGACATTTGGAATTACTTCAAATAAATGGAAGGTGGAGTAGGTGGAAGGGAAATTGAATTGTGTGTACTAAAAATCCGTACTTGCATTAATCTGATCGGAAACATCTGCCAGACAACAGCCATTTAGATGACACATGGTCAAAAATCTTTCATACAACAACTTTCAACAAAGTTCTAATGCTAATAAAATCATTCAGATAATAGCGACAGGGTAACACACCGATGCTGTGTCGCAGGGAGTCATCAGTGCTCGATCGACTGCCAGAGCGCGTAGGAGGACGCGAGTTGTACTGGAAAGGAGGCAGGCTTCCTTCCTCACTCCTCTGTCTGCCCTGGAGGCCAGCCCAGTCGCCACTACACTCATTTGTTTTTGCGGTGGCCCGATGTTCACTGCGCACGACAAACACAATGTTTTAACATGACTGAATACAAGGTCAGAGTTACCATAGCTTGAAATGAGTTGACGCTCTCCTGTCATTACATCATATTTAATATAAATTTACTCTTCTAACTCCTTGAAGTCAAGCCTTTGCAATTATGTATGGCTAAACATAATGGAACTCTTTGACCTACTGAACTAGTTTTTACGTTAGTACAAACTTCTTTATCCAAGTTGGTGAACAAAAGACGGAACAATCATTGTAAAAATTGGCTACAGGTTGAACTACAACTACTAGCTATCTGTTCTCCTGTAAACTGATCACCTGCAAGAAACAAGAGGCCAGTGGCCAGGTGCGTGTATCCAATTAGAAATTTTCACACGCAGTTCTGATAGTATGAAAATGATGTGTATGGCACCACTGCATTTACATATAACCAAAATTGTTTTTTTGCCCCCCCCCTGTGAGTGGATGTGTATATATCTTACCCTGTGCTTGCATTACGGTGAGAACTGGGAGTAACAGGCCGTTGTAGGGGCTCATCAACATTTGGCTGTATCAAAGGGGTTGACTTCCTCTTGACTTTTGCCATGTTGGTCATAATCTACAACACACATCGTTGTGAAATGGTGTTGAAAATACAAAAAGGAGAAGACATGAGTAACACATTTATATCTCTTATCTAGAATATCAGATTCAGAAATGCAGCTTTTTTTCATATCATATATATATATATATATAGAGAGAGAGGGAGAGAGAGAGAGTGAGAGAGAGACAGAGAGAGTAAGAGACAAAAATACTAAACAAAAGAGTAAGAATGGTCATTCAGTTTGACCTCCAATTAACTGTGACATGGATTGCACAGGTATCTGCTTACCCTGCAGGTCTACAGGTGAGGGTCAAATTCTACCATTGATTAATACAGGTAATCAGGCCGCCATGAAAGGTCTGGTTAAATCAATATCAAAACTTGCTGCTTTTTTGTTGGAACCACCATTTTTGTGTGCCCTTTCTGTGTTAATTGGGGCAAAGAGACAGTGACAGAGAGGCAGAGCTGTATTTTTATTAACCTGCTGCTTTGATGTCGATATGCTATAGCACCCAAATAGCACCAAATACAGACTCAAAGAAGTGCGTAATGGGATCATTTCCCCTTGTTCCAGCACCCTAAAGTGGCTACAATCAAATATTTCCACTCAGCGCTTGTTACAGTCTGAGACTGAATTATTAGCAGAAACATTCAAATTGAAAAAGAAAAAACAAACAAACATGAAGGCTACAGGTGTACATGTTTAGCTCTTACGCCCAAGTACTCTGTGGTGAGCAAACTCTCCCCAGAGAGTTCCCTTTGCTGGGGATGAAGAACTTCCTCTTTGTCAAGGTCCCCCTCCATTAAATCTTCCTGTCGAAAGTACAAAGCAATACGTTACCCAATTTGTGATTAACATAAGGACTGAACACGGTTAATGCCACAGACGCCAGTTCTTCGGAAAACTAAGAATTGGTGATTCCTTAATATGTTCTAGGAATTATACAGTGTGTCTGAGCTTTTGAGGTTCACTTTGAAATTTGAGCACCCAGCCAGACATCACAGGAATTTGAGCGGGTGAGGAAAGAATACACACTTCCTGTGTGTTAACTGTAAACTGAAACACAAAGCAGTTTGCAAAACACCTTACAGCACACATCTTATCTAGATAGCTCACTTTCCCAAAATATATTGTCACTGAGACTGAAACCTATAAACGCACACAAGGCACACAGGTGAGCGACACCACATATCTGTGTCATGTTAAGATAGCATCTACAATACATGTCTGTGAAATGTGTCAAAAGTATTTTTTCCCCTTTATGGTAATTCTTTCTGTTTCAGAAATTTGCCATTTCTTTATCTTTGTTTGCTTACAGATTTGCTAAAAACAGGGGGGAAAAATGGTATTATCCTGAATGCCAAACAGATTCAAACAGGTCCTTACATCGTTGTCGTCATCTTCCTCTTCATCCCCTGACTCTCGCCCTTCTTGCTCAGCTGGGTGAATAACAGAAAAGATATATAATGCTGTGTGCCCATGGGCAAATTTGTGAAAGGACTACTGATATATTAATCTTAGTCAGTAGTCTTGATTAAAACAAACACCAAGCTTGATTCTTATTATTGTTGAGGACATAGAATTTCACAAACTTGAGTTCATCTGTTTGATGATGAATTCAATCTGTCTGTCGAGGTCTGGGTTTCCTTCTTTGTTGTAGCAACGGAGAATCTCATCTATGCTCTGCACACATGAGAGAACACATCCACAGGATAGCATAAGTGACTGGGACACAAAAAGAAACTTCCATGTAATTCTAAAATAAAAATACTTAAGAGTGAGAATCTTAGTTGATTTGATTAGTTTGATTCTCAAACATGAGGATTAGATAAGGATTATTTTCTTCTTTCAAAGTAATTCCAACTAAATAAACTGATGATCTGATGAAATGCTGTATAAATTTGTCTATACTCTTTCAAAATGTACGGCTTTAGCTTTTTATGGTATTCCTGTTGCTAAAGGATATGGTGTACAAATGCATGCATGCTGGCTCCAGTGTCTAGTTCACCTGAGCACCCACAGCTTCACGCATAAGACTGACTACGTGCTGACATAAAGGCAGACAAATGCAGCACGGAACAAAAACAGTCTGTTTCCATCGGGAAGCATTTCTGCTATCTCACCATCTCCTTGGCTGCCTGTCGCACAGAGGGAATAGACAGGATACTGTACAGAGCTCCGTTCACGTATGGTCGAATCTGAGGAAAGCAAAGCGATACTCACAAACATAATCTCTATCTTTAGGACAAAGTCTAAAGCACTTAGGAACATCTAGTATATATATAAACATAAAAACGTATGTGACACCCATTCATTAAGAGGTGATTTGTATGTGTGGTGTCAAGTTCACATGTGTGTCCCTGTGTTAGCAGATGTGGGTGAATCACCTCATGGTTCTCATGCCCAAGTAGGTCAGTCAGGACCTTCAGAACCTGCTTAGCATTATCGGCACACTTCCTTTTCCCTGCAAAAGACAGTTATTCAACACACACAAATATGCACACATTCGGATTCTGTAACGTGCTATTTTTTTTTTCTATTTCCGTCAGTGTTTCTTCTTTCCTGTCACTGATTCATTCGTTATTCCCTCCAGCACTATTGTCTTTCACTTTTTCAGAGTGGTTCCGCAGTCTGACACATGCAAACCACTTCCCGATTCTCAAGAGCCCGTCCATTTGTGTCGGCCGTCTACTCCAGCGTTTCACGCCCTACCTTTTGTTCGCAGACACAGGTTCATAAGGAGAGCGGAGGAGTACTCCAGGGTGTAGTCGCTTAGGGAGTCCGAGTCCTCCAGCTCATCCACCAGCCAGCCAATCAAATCATCTGCTATCATGGCTGTCTGCTGGCTTCGCCTAACATGAGCACAAATATTGTTTTATTTCTCATATTAGCAATGATTTAAATAGAGATCCACTGACATACATTTAGAAGGTATCTGATTTAATCTTCCAAAAACCAAGAGCCTGTTTTTATTGATGTTCATGGCGAATGTGCTTGGATGAGGCAAATCACACGTCTAACCATTTAATCCACATAAACACAGAAGACCTGTAAAGAATGGCTAGTACTTAGAGAGGGATGGGGGAAAAAAGTTAGCAATAACTAGCGACTATCCTAAATGCACCTGAGACTGAGTTTCTGCAAGGCTATGAGGACATTTCCTCTTGTCCAAGAATCCTTTTCCTCCCTCCTGAGCATCTCTGTTAGAAGTTTCAAAAGAACAGGAATTTGCGAGAGATAAACCCGGCCTGTAATCAGAAGGAATAAAAACAAGGAAAAACATTTTAAAGTATCACCAGTAAATGTCTTCCACACACAGCGTAAAAATACCTTAGATTTTATCATATTACTGAATAAATTGTTTTTTTCAATACAAAAAAAAAAATCTAATCAAATCTGAGCTCAATTTACAAAGACGTGATAATGCTTAACCAAATGGACTGGTCGCTGATAACTTACCCTCTGCAAGGGAGGCAAATGCGTTGATGAGACGAGCCATGTATTGGCGGACAACCTCATTTGTTGATCTCATTAAATGAAGTACTGTTTTCTAAATCGAAAAAGAAAAATGAAAATAACAACAAATAAATAACAACACACACAAACCAACCAAAAACAGAAATGTAATTTGACTAAAAGTGTTTTCTTATTGGTTTCAGATGCAGTCGGTTAACTTTCTGAACTATCCTGACAAAGATTTGATAGAAGTAAGATTTCCCAAATCTCCAATGCACAGGTTTAAGAAAAACAAAAAAAACAAAGAGCTCTTTAAATAAACCCATAATCCATGAATAACATATACACTGTGGCAGAAATCTACATTTTAAAATTAATAAGATCCATTATCACCTAAAGTAATTTAGTTTGGATTTTAAATAGAGTTTTTCGAAATTCCAAAAACAATAGTGTTTTTGCTGCTATTTCCTGGAGGCAAACTTCATAACAGGGCTTGTTAGCTACTGGTGGAATTGTCATTATTCGAACTGTGATTCACCCCTGTTAGTTTACTGAACAAGGATTTAAGTGGTTTTTACATAACAATAACTATTAAATGGTTATGATTTGAAAACTATAAATACAGAAGCCAATTAAACTGACTTGACAGCAAATGTTGTGAGGAGTCTCGTTAAATGTATGTGGGTTCTTTTTGTAGCACCTTTGAATTTGAGATATCGCGTCTCAGTAGGTAGAACTACCTTTGAGCCACAGGCTGACTGACGCCTGTAACGACTCACTGATCGTCATTCATGCTTTCTGCTGCTGTCAAACACAGATCAGTTTCCTTTGACCAGAAACTGACCTTCATAGTAATAGCTTGACTCCCTACAGAAAATGATCATAAAGTTATTCAGAAGTGGCTTGGAGCATGGCGTGGCAAGAACATGAACAAAAGAGACCAGCTGTGAGGGTAGGATCATTTACACTCCTAAAACAGATTGTCTTCAAAAGAGCCCCTCTGGTAAAAGGCTAGCTACAGCTCAGGTGCAATGATAAAAAAAAGAACATGTGTAATATAACATCTATGATGGTGACATTAAGAATAGGACATGAGTATGTTGCTTTGCCCTTTGTCTGGAAAATAAAACAGGAAGTGGATAAAAAAAATCCTCATTAAACTAACTAGATGATGGATTAATTATGACGATGCTGTTGTCACACATTGTAGATCATCCTGATTCCAAAATATGCTAAATGTTAACAATATGTACATTTTTTACATGTTTTTAAACTTTATTTACAGTCTATACTCTTTATCCTCATCCTCAATGTTCACAGTGAGGAAAGAATACAATGCTCCGCCGACAGACTTGCTGAAACATCAAGTAAGACCTGGTTGAAGTTATACCCTTGACTAGGCAGTCTTCTTATCTTCTTTTTGTCCCAGTCTCTTTTAGCTTTTTATGTACCGACAGTCAAATCAGATATATATCTTAAAACAAATCCCCTTTTGTCTCAGCTTAAAGAGTAGGACATTTTAGGATAACTCCACCTGAACAACTGCTCGGTAATGTAAAAACAAGCAAATGCACCTTCATTTCAAAGACGGCCTCACCTGCTTTGTGCTGTAGCGCTCCAGGAGGTCGTTGCTGATGTAGGCCTGAAGCACCGTGTCTCTCTGTTCCCCTGGGAGGGAGCGGGTGAGTCTCTTAATAAAGAAAAGAAAAAAAAGTTTGTATGCACTGTGACTTTGGCAATTTGGGGATCAAAAGGGTTCACTCCATCCCATACCACATTAACCCCAATTTAAACGATGCAAGACCTGACTATGGTGGATCTCTCTGTAAATCATCATACATTTTGTGAGTATAAATCTTATAAATGTTTAATTACAGTTTCCTGAAAACATAAGATATGTGTGGACTACCCAGCGTAGTGCCTGTAGCAGAAGACCCTTAAGTCTGTCCGGGCTTTCAACCAGATCTCTCTTCAGCTTATCGTAGTCTAATGAAGGCAACATTGGCACTTCCTTAGGTCTTCTGGAGAGGAATAAAAATTAGACTTTTTGAAAAAACATACAGACGAGCAAAAAATAACTAAACACTTCCTCATACTTACTGTGATGGAATGGAAGCTCGTAGCATGGAAGAAGCCTAAACAGAGAACGCAAAAAGAAAAGTGTACTTCACATTTTTCTCGAACTGTCACATTCCTTGCTTTTGCCGTACAAAACATAACCCATGCAGGTGTTAAAATTCCCAATTCTAAATAGCTGTTTCCTCCACCTAAAACACTGATGATTGCTACAGCACATCTAAGTAAGTCACTGTTGTTCTTTTAGGTATGCATGCATCATGCTCAGGTTACATGCGAACGCTGGAATATATAGTGCTGTATGGTTGGATCACATTTTCCATGCAATAATTGACAATCTGGCAGCAAATCAGTCTCAGAAAAGTGGGTTAGTATCCTTGCAAATGTTACACCTAAAAGCATCTGTGCTAAAGTCCTGTTATTTGAGAAAAAGAAAAAAATGAAGGCTTTCAAACTAATCACTAGTGACCCCCCAACCCTCTACCATAACCAGAGAGGGGATTTTGAGCTCTGAAATTCAATCTGAAGCTAAGGAAGTTGGACCTATAGAGTGGGGGCAGCATACAGTCAGGGGAGTGATCCATGTCGTCTGACATATCAGTTGAAGTGGTCACATTTTTGCTTTGTTCTACAAATGATAAAGTGGAAAAAGACGCCTACAGAGATACCAGGATTATTTTCTCTGTACTCATTCCTAACCCCAAAGAGTGGTAATCCATGAATTGGAAGTATTTGCATGAAAAGCCTGGTGGCTTCATGACAGACTATTGTGGTGCACATCCTGGAAAAAGGCAAATACTTAAATTTGTACAGCATCATGTCAACAATAGCATTTTTTCATTAAAAACATTAAAGCCACGTTTGCTGCAATGGTCCTGACAAAACTATTTTTCAAATGTATATGAAGCCACCAGCTCGAAGAGACCAGGTGTGATACATTTTTATATTTGAGACTTTTAAAATCCAGGAAAATTATCTCTGAGCCTAACTTAAAATTCTATTTTTAGTTTATTAGAGGGACACTTTTTAATGACAATCATAGCAATTGTAATCATTATTATTTTATATGAAACATCACCGCCTGTGAGTTCAGGTGTTAAGAGCCATGAGCATTTATAACTAAAAGTGCTCTTTTCTTATGGCTGTAATTTGACCCCACCTGAGCGTGAGAGACATTCTTTCAAATCAAAGCACTTTGTGTTGAATACTCTTGTGCTGACATCCTATTGTCCTAAATTCTTCAAAATACCATTAAATATAAGACAGGGAACTGAAACTGAACGAACGTTATAAAAAGACAGACAGCTAGAAAGAAGAGTTGAGATGGGAACAAAGACTGTTTGGAAACACGTGAAAATAATGAGGAGGTATGCTGTGAGAGATGCTCGTTTGCCCTCATAAGTGGCCTAACAAAAGGATTGATTCTTCAAACAAACGAGGACAAACATCTTTTCAAAGTAGGACAATCTAGAGCAGGGGGGTCAGCCATAATGATAAGGAGGAGAAGTAGGACGGGGCGCAGGCAAGATGGGAGTGGGGAACTTGAGAGCGGACAAGAAAAAAAGATGAAATCATGAAACTTACATAGCCATCATCATAAGGAGTCATAGAGTAATATCCCTTAGTGGACAAAAGGATCACACACACAAACACACACAAAATGTTGTTCAGTTAAAGCAGAAAGGAAGTAGGTTTCATGAGTAAGACAATGATGTAACAGTCACTTTTTTTATACCGCTTTCCCACCAAGGCAGTCCGAGGACATGTTTTGAGCCAGTGCTGCATCTCTGGCCAGTTCTTTACAGTTCAGCTGATGAAAAACTATCACAAAAGATCTATTTCCCTTTTCAATTCTTCATAACTTTACACGTCGAACTGACTCTGATGCAACACCAGCCCAGAACTATCATGCTGCTACCATTTATGGCACATAGGCGTACAGTACCATTAAACACAATGTTTTCTTCCTCAAAGAAACAAGACAAGAGCAGGTTGATTTTCTTTCGGAAGCCACTATGATTGGCAGAATCTAAAGCTGTGCATATATAACTTTCAAATTACATAAGAAAAAGGAAACAAGGATCCAAACAGGACATATAGTGTTTGGGCGTAAGTCTGGCTGTATGATTTAGAAAGAAAGAAAGAAAGAAAGACTTTCGGCACGACCCTTCTGTTTAAACATCCTTGTCAAACAGTGCATAAGTTTAAACACACCTCAGTGACGTGGATTCTACTAACCCTCCCTAAATGGACATTTCCCACGTCTTTACCTAAATCCCCTTTGTTTTTTAATCGGTTATTCTTCCCATCAGTGAGGCGTGAGGGTGAGCCAGGGGACTGTGTGTGGTACTCACAGTGCCCGGCCTGGTGAAATCAGTGCTATGCACAACGCTCTGCCTCATCTGGCTGTTGAAGAGCCGAACGCACACGCTCTGCAGGTACTCAGGAGAGATCTGTATGAAAACATTAGTCCTTTAAAAAAACAGCATGCTCCTTGTGAGTCAAGACGCCGTCACTTGGGACAAAAGCTTGGCTCTTTGCACTGCCTGTATTTGAAAGTCTTGCTGTAAAATGAAATACTCTGCAATAAAACTTTACCATGCAGTAAACAACACTAAGTCAAGTTTAAATGCACACCAGTTCATATTAACTTTGCATATGTAAAATGAGAAGAATAATGTTTTTTTTCAGTTCCCATTAAAATGTCTTTGAAGTAAAGTGAAAGCAAGCTTGTGCGTGTCTCTCCTCTACACTCATTTGCATGCACTTAGTATTTGTGGCTTGTGTTTGACAATGTGTGAGGGAGGCACGCTCGGCCTGGCCTACCATTTTTCCGCTGACGGTGGCCTCCAAAGAGTCGACCAGCTCAGCCGTGATCCCGATGAGGTTGTGATAGTCGGCCTGCGTCTTATTAAACTTTCGCGAATAGCTGTTGCTGCGGCGTTGTGCCTCTGCGAGCTGAAGCTGCAGCAGCTGCATGGCCTCTGTGCGGTCACACACACACACACGCACAGAACCTTCATGAGTCAAATTATGCTGAAATGTCACAACCTCTTTAGTGTATACAAGAGGGAGTAGATAGTTCACACGTCAATATTCATCTAGTACATTCAATATTTAAGGTCATTGTGAGTAATCATTTACATTTCCCATTACGTATAATTGTCTGTTTGATTTGTATTAACAGTCAGTGTTTGGCAAAGTCTTCAACAATCTCCTCTGTCCAATATATACATTTCAAGCAAAGGTATGGTCCTCTATGCAGTTTCAAAGATTGAAGTGAAATAAAAAATATATACATTACTGTTTTTAAGAGATCATTTTTTGTCATTTGCAATAAACAAATAGATCACTTTTACTAAGATTTTTGTTTTAGAGCTTATTTTTTTGTAATTTCCAATAAAAAAGAAACCATTTTTATTCCCACAAAAAATATATTTTAAACAGAGTGGGTTGGATTTGTTGGCACAGTCTCTGAAAGGTTGAGTTACCTTTAGTAGTTCGTCCGCCTTCCTTCTGTGTGTCATGTTAAAGAATCAACGTCAAATGTATCTAAAATCCTATTTGAATGGTAAAAAATCATCACATACATAAAAGCAACCTTGTGTGACAGGAATAAGATATACACTCAATATTTGCTGATCTAAATCCTACTGAACAACACCCTTGCAAGCAGGGTGCACAATGTACCAGGGTACTGGTGCTACAAGCAGAGATTATGTTCTGATCCCATAAATCAAGCTACTTTTCATTTACAGATGAGCTTTAATTCACCTGGAGGCCCTTTTTCAGTCAGCTGAAAACACCCACTAACTTAAAAAAATAAAAATTGTACAATACTTACAAGTGAGAACAAGATAGATAGAAAACTATTACTATGCTCTCTGGCAATTTGTAAGACAAGTTTTCATGAGGCACAGTAAATGGATACATATAAAGTCATCAGCCTTGGAGTGTTGGATGGTTTTAGTGTCACTGACAAGAACTTCTCCAGCTTTGCTTTTAGCTCTGGTATCCATGATTCCTGAAAACAAAACAAAAGAAACATCTTAAAAAAGAAATTAAAATATGGTTTGGTTTATTGTGATAATTGCAAAGATTGATGTGCCAAAAATAAAAAAACAGGGAAGCAGATATTTTGAAAATGACAGTGTTCTGTAACTTTCTGAGCACCTGAAAGAGATCCTTGAAGGAGGGGTGAACGGTGGGGTTGGGGACAAATGGCAAAGCGTAGTAAGGCAAAAACTCTGCCGTCTGGCTCAACGCTGCCCCCCGAGTTTCAAGGTACTGCTTGAAGTCTGAAATTCTTTCCTCGAACTCTGCTCGGTCCTGCACAGAGAAGGGGACTTTTTTAGTTAAGTTATATGTTCAAGGTCAGTGACAAAAAGTCCTTTTACTTTACCTGTATTTTCTTTTACAGAAAACAGAAATGTCCACAGAAATGTGAAGTGGCCCTTCAGTGAACCACCACTGGGGAAACAGATCTATGGCGCAGCTTGGTGGACACTTTGACAAACACCACAGTACGATGCTAATTAAAGAAAATGTTAAGTATACGCACTTGTCTAACCGGGTGTCTCCTCAGTGGATAGATGGTGAAGTGGATGTTTAGGTAGAACTCCAAGCTGAGGGCTTCGGGATCTGTGTCTTTTACATCCGTGGGAATATTCTCTGTCCATAGTTCAAAGAACACCTTGTGGTATCCATCATCAAAAGAGCTTAAAAGGTCTTTCTAAAAGAAAAAAAAGCCACATTTAAGTCAAGTGAAGTTGGACTAATAGTATTCACCAACATTAACATGTTGCTTTAGATTCACATTTACTTGCATGTAACACTGTGATGCACAAAATGAAGCAGTTTGGTTCAAATATTTTTGTAGAAGTGAGAGAGAAACATAAGAAAATGAGACTACAATAAAAACATATATGTTTGCTTGTCTTGACTTCCTGTTTTCTATTTCCCAATCGGGTGCAATGCAGCTGCACCACAAAGCAACTTGATTCATTTTACGACACTGTAATTTAAAAGATGTTGTTCTTGCATATGTCTAGCCATCTTTTAACAAACCACCAGGGAAAAACAACAGATTTGAAGAATTTATGATGTACCTGAATGACACGGGTCTTTGAATCTCTGAGAGAACTTCCTCGAGGCTTCGAGACAAGCTTTCCTTTGCTTTTGCATTCTTTGTCAAAACTCTGGACAGTCTCTTCAAATTCCTCAAACTTAAGGTACTATAAGCAACAGAAACGAGTACAAGAAAAACAGTTAACATAGCCGATTCAGAATGTTTTTAAAGGCAAACAAATTACAGATGCACAATCTTTGTCTTAAACACATTTCTAATGTAAAGTTTAAAAAAAATCTGATTTGTATTTTTCTGGATGAAAGACACCTCTTTGATCATCCCAAGAAGATCAGCTTCAGTTGCCAAGACATCCCCCATCTCGGCTGACTCTCTGGAACTCATGTGATTGTCAAAGTCTTCTCGGATAGCCACAAACTGAAAGGGTTTCCTCTGCTTCATTCAATAGTGTTTGCACAATCAGTGAGCATGTTGCAGGCTGCAAAAAAACAGAATCAAAACGCACTTAGTCTTCAATAACACATATACATACATACATACATACATACATACATGCATACATACATATTATACATACATACATTCTATTTTACTTTACACAGTTTTGAAAATGTATGATAAATGAATACGTTTATCACAATTATTGCTCTCGATTAGGATTAAACAACAGCGTTAACATTATTAACAAAGATTCATCAACAAGCTAGCTTATCCGCTAACATTTATTTCTTTTTTTGAGGACTTCATCATCTGTACCTCGGTCGCATATCATTCACTTGGTGATCAAAGTGTATTCTCTTTTCTTCGGGGCATTAATCCGAACGTGAACCTTTTGTTATACATATTTTGACCGGACTCTGCTGATGGTTCATCTCAGCCAGCTAAATAATATTAGCTAGCAACCGTACACATACAGGACGCTTAAAGAAAAAACCTAGCAACTAGATTTACACGTCCGGAAAGCAGAGGCGTAAAGTAGAAGGGAATGTCGTGAAAAACGTCGACATCAGCGACTATGGATTTGAAAAATAAAAAAACGGTATTCATTTAAAAATCACTGACTACTCTGTTATAAAAGGAAAAATTAAATCATTAGAATTTAATTTGTTAATAAAAAAACAAATATTAATTTCATAGACTGTTTTTGAGAAGGTGCTTCACTCAACCGGAAGCAGTTTTGATGTCAAAGGTTGAGCACATTGCTCTCGGGCGGTACAGTTTGTTTCAAAGCAATGAATGAAATTACATCCGAATAACAAATCCATCGGTCAAACTGCATTGTTGTTGTCCACAAAACTGACTGACAGCGACAGAAGTAAGTTAACGCTATCAAAACATAATTTTAGGTAAGAGTGGGAGTAGGAGTTTATGTAGACACAAAACTAAGCTAACAGTTAGCCTCATCAGGCTAACCAATAGGATGTACAAAGTTATGGTTCTGTGTGGTTTTCTTAAATTATTTGGATACTTTAGGCAGACAGAATTCCATATGTCTTTATCAATCACTTTGCAACAGGTGGAATACGATGTTAAAGATCATCCCAAATTGTGCTGCTTTTCTAGTTTGTGATGGATATGAACAGAACAGCTTTTTCTGTTTTCTTTTTACTTTCATTGCTGTTATTTTAAATTTTTGTATGTTAATTGCAATCTGTGCAGACATTCTTCTGTTTTCCCAACTCCTACTAAGCTAATGAGTAAAATTAAGTTATTCATATGTACTTTTTTCTCTTTCATAAGTTAAAAGAGTCGATCAGGGATGGCCGGAATTCTGTTTGAAGATATTTTTGATGTGAAAGACATTGATCCAGATGGCAAGAAGTTTGATAGAGGTATGTAATATGCATTAACGAATTAAGATGTAACAAATGGGTAATCATTATGCACCTTGTATCTAGCTGTCTCTCTGTAGGGAAATCTTGTATGTATATTTTAATGCTGATTTTATGATGGTATGGATGATGTGTACTTCTGGTTAGTATGGAGCCGAAGTGGGTTTAACATGTATTCTCCAATAAAAACTGCATTAACTAATTCAGAGTGCATTTGCCCCAGTGTCTCGACTACATTGTGAAAGTGAGTCTTTCAAGATGGACCTAATCTTAGATGTGAACATTCAGATCTACCCAGTTGATCTTGGTAAGACTTTTTGCATGCACGTTTTTGTTTAATTTGAGTTTGATGACAACAGCTTTAATCTGCTTCCTAACCATCATATAATCTAATGTATAGTTATAAATTTTTAGCTTTTCTAATTTTTTGAGTTTCTAATTAATTTAATTCAGGTGACAAGTTCAGACTGGTGATTGCCAGCACATTATATGAAGATGGGACACCAGATGATGGAGAGTACAATCCTCAGGATGATAGGCCATCGAGGTGCATAAAAAACATCATAAGCACTTTTTCATCTCATATTGTAACCTGTATCTTTTCATGTTTGAGAATTCTCCTTTCATATGACAATATTTAGGGCGGACCAATTTGACTATGTGATGTATGGAAAGGTCTACAAGATTGAAGGAGATGAGACCTCAACAGAAGCCGCCACGCGCCTGTAAGTTAGTCATTAGCACTAATGACTGTGTGAGAAATCATTTGAAAACGTAGGGGTTTAGTTGTTTTCTTAGTTCTGTTTGTTTTAATCTGTTTCCGTTGGTCTTTCAGCTCTGCCTATGTGTCCTACGGAGGCCTCCTCATGAGACTACAGGGTGACGCCAACAACCTTCACGGTTTTGAGGTGGACTCTAGGGTCTACTTACTCATGAAAAAGCTTGCCTTCTAAACCTCAGCAATCCTGTTACCCTCAAAACTATGACAAACTGGTTTCCCAGAGACACTTCAGCCTAATTTGGGACATTTGCTCACCTTACAGATAAAGTACAAGGATTTTTTGGAAAACTTTTTTTTATGGTTGATTCACAATGGTTCCTCTAAGGTGATGGAATGCAGACTAAAGTCTGAGATTTGGCAAACTGTAAATAAAGATTTCTTTTATACAAAACTATAAGGACAATGTCGACTTCAATTATTTTTTGGTTTATTTTTTGACTATTTATTTGCTACAACCCCATCTATAAACATCTTGCACAGCACTTTTTACTAACTGAGTTAAGTATTCCAATACACTGCTTAAAATCTTAAACATAAAGTGAAAAATGCAAAAGAAAACAATTGTCTCTGTGCTACTGATCGGCTTTGTTGTAGAAAGAAACAACATACTTTTCTAATAACATAGATTGTTACATTGTTTTGCAGAGGATTTTGTGCCCATTTTTGCTGAATGCAACATTTTAGCTGCCCAAAATCTTCTTATTATAGTTGTAATAATTGCAGGAAGACCAGTCAAGTGTAGACACATTGTGCGTTAAATGCAAGGCTGTATTTAAGTTAGCATTTGCCACTGTATTTTATGTGAACACCACTATCCACATTCTTTCACATAAATGATTGGGAGTGGTTTTGGCAATGTGGCTTTGCAAGTTACTTCAGAGCTCATTTAATCATAGTGGAATGTTTATTTTTCATGCAGTATTTCCTGAGGGCTCAGAGCTAATTTGCATCTATAATTGATTTAATACCCTCATCTTTAGGTATGATTTTTCTTTTTTTTTATGTCCTGAATGTAGGGATGCCTGTAGCGTCATAGACAGTCTTTCACAAACGTGCATACAAGGTAAAAATAACTGCATGGACAAATTGTAAAGACAAGGTGAAAAAAAGCTCCTCATTAATGATCTTTTTATAGTATGCTCTGTAGATGGTTGAAAACTCTCATTACTTCTGTTATACATCTTTCTTGTGGATAAAGGACAAAATTGATATAATATATAAAAAATTCTGTTGCCGTTCAGAACATCTCAAAATCTCGGCTGGAAATGAGATTTGTAATGCAGTCTTTGCTTTCTGGTTGGATTTTATTAGCAGCCATGCTGTTTGAAACTAGATGCCAGCAAATTAAAATGTGACCACTCAAGGGACAGAAAATTGCATTAGAGGGCAAGAAGCAACTTTTGTGTTGGAACAGGCCTCTCAAAGTTGGTGGTAATGAATGTCACAGGATGGAGAGTCGAACTCCCCCCCCGATATGGACAGACGCTGCAGGATAAGGTTGTCCCCACACAATGTTGAATCACATTTTTTCCCCTGTACAATAAAGTCAAAATGCCCATGTCAGATGCATCCCATCATTTAATGGATTTCATTTTGACTGGTTTGACATAGACTACATGTCAGACGGTCACACGGTGAGATGGCAACATTCTATGTACAATTTTTCTTTTCCTCTACAGTTTTGCAATGACGGTCATATTATTCAACATTATTTCAAATGTACCAAACGTAGGACCCACCAAAATGTTTAATATAACTCATTGACGCTGTGCTGATCTGTTAATAAAAAAAGGAATAAATTAAAAAGCTGACATAAGCATCCATTATTGAGGGAGAGGTCAGACATTGCAACTGTCAGCTATCTTTAGACCACAGGAAGTGATGTAACTTTGGAAGGAACACAGAAGCCAGCCCCTGTGAGCCTGCGTGAGGATAGGAAGCCCATAAGGTGAATGCACGCTTGTCAAACTCCCGGAGGGGCTTGTGCACTGGAAATCTTAAAGCTCCAGCGTTAGCATCGGATTGCAAACTTTTGCTGAAGAAAATGCTTTGCTATTTTCGGCTTCTTCCCGTCGGGCGCCAATAGGCTTTCACCTCATTCACCCTTAATTGGAAGCGTTGCATTGGGGATTATGTCTGCGGTGTTTTTGTTGTGAAAGCAATACATAAAAACAAAACAAAAACGGTGCATGAAAGAATGAACGTGATCAAAACAGGATGGATAATCGACGTAAAAAGAAACTGACATTCTTCACCATTGGACTCATTTTTCTTCTGAGTGGTGTGGAGTATGGTAAGAAAACACTGACATTCCGCACCACAGCAGGGACCAGATTAATCCAGGGGCGATTGTTTAGTATCTGATGTTTAGTAAATCTGAATCTTAGCAAATCTTAGTAAATCTGATGTTTTTTATGTTCTTGCAATTATCAAAAAACGTTTCATAGACATTAAACTGTCAGTGTATTCGAAATAATGATGAGTGATGAGTGATTTTAGTCTGGTTCATGACACAAAACATACAGTTTCAACTTACATCATCAATATCGAAAAGAGAAATAAAAGCATTTATGTATTGTACAGATTATCTGCACCATACCAGCATGGTGATGGCAGCACCATGATCTGGAGCTGTTTGCACAGTTGATGACATGAAGGAGGGCATGCCCAGATTTCATCAGTATGAACTCACACTATAACATAACAGCTGGACACAGCTGGATGTTCCGGCAACTCTAACAGACCTTTAAGGTCAGCCCTTAGAAACAAGACAAAAAAGCATGACGTGTTGAAATAAATGCATTAAAAGTTAGACTTTTGCCGAAAAACAACTGATTCTACCCAGTCCACAAGACTGAAGGTTTAACATCCTGTTAGACTTTCAGCCATGGAGTGTTAGGAGTGTTTCATTCAAATTTACAATGCTTTGTGTGTTTTTTTCTTTTTCCCAATAGCGCTAATTTCAGAAACCCCATGAAGAAGATTAACTTCTTCTTCAAAATCTTTTTCCCTTTTTCGTTCATAATTCACGATTCACAATGAAACAATAGCATTCCCCTGATCACCAGATAATTTGACCAATCATTTCCTATGGAATTCTACATGACCATGTGTTGTTTAGTGTCACCTGACCCCGTTATTGAGTTTGGCTTGTATTTGTTTGAGGCTACTCTTTGTCTGACTGATAATAGAGATGGAAGTGTGGGAACAGGGTTAGAAGAAGAAAAAAAACACCACTATTGCAAAAGATAAACTTCCCTTCCGTGTAAGTGTCTCTTTAAACAGTATCTTGCCCGATAAGATAAAATGACACAAGTTGATTGAATCAGTTGTTTGTTTCAATGCTAATTTCAAGCGCAACACGAGACCAACCATCCCAAAGGATAATCTGTGCTGAGTTTTGTCAGACCTACGCGTTTATATTAAATTAAAGTTAAATCATATGATTTCCCCCCCTTTCTGTCTCCTCAGCTGTGATATTACCCACCATATGGAGATATTTACAGACTTTAGAGGCAGCTCCTTACTTCCTGGGTTTGACCCTGTCAGCGTTCAGTCTGAGTGGCCTGCTGTCAGGGCCCCTGTTCGGTCACTGGTCTGACCGAACACGGACCACAAAAAAGATCATATTATTCGCAAACCTTTTTGAAGTAGTAGGTGAGTGCACACTTTTTCAAAGATCATACTCGCTGCTTTAAAAAAAATCCCTTTAACCTAAGTCAATTTATACTCAAACGAGGTGAAAGTTGGCAATTCTAACCTTACAGCTTATGTTTATTTCTCCCTATTAGGTAATTTAATGTACTTCATGGGCTATTCCAAGTGGCTCTTACTGTCAAGTAGACTGGTAGCTGGTAAGTATGTTTTTAATACCACCAGAACTGCTAATTTTCTTGCGTTTTGAACTGATGTGGATATATTTGTTTCATTGTTTAATCTTTACATATTTCTTTTCTATTGGCCATGAAACCTTTTACCCTCTAAGCTAAGCAACTGAAGTGAATGTTTTGATTTAGGTGGTAATCATTCGCTAACAGTCAAACATTCAAATACTGATCTGCATACACTCAGCATTTTCATACTTTACAGTATCAATACATTTAATGCCTTTAAGTTATCAATGGTAGATTGTATCAGTATGTGAGTGCTTATATTACTGCAAACTTTCTTGTAAGTTTGGACAGTTACCATGTTAGTTTATTGGGGACTATAATTTCTTTATAGGCTTAAAACTTTTTAAAGTATTGCTACTTTGAGAATATTTTATTGTCAATTTCATGTGTATTGTCAGTCAAATAAAAAAAAAAATGCTTTCATTTGAATCCCCAGAATTACATTACATCCATGACTGACTTTATACCGGTTGTATCAAAGTTTAAATATCCTAATATTTTCTTGCTTGGTGATAAAATAATCCTTTCAGGCATTGGTGCAGGTGCTGGTTCATCCATCTTTAGCTTTTTGACGAGAAGCACTGCTCCAGAGGACCGGGCCACTGTGTTTGCAGCTGTCATGGCTTGTCGGCAAGCAGGCCTTCTGATTGGTTGGTACTTTTGTGGATTCTAACCATCATCGATTCCGTTTTGTATCTCTGACAATGAAAATATTTTGGCTAAAGGATCTGTGCTTCAGTCAGAATTTGTAGAAGGTTTACTAAAGCATCTGTGTAATGTGTTTTAAATTCAGATTTTGATTTTGGTTTAACACAGGTCCAGCGTTTAACATCTTTCTGAGGCTTTGTGATTTCCACATGGGTCCTTTTGTGGTCAATAAATATACTGCACCCGGGGTAAGGCAAAAAAACATGCTGTTGTTTAATTTGAAATAAGATTCAGATTTTACCTTGCAAAAGAAAAAGGTTTTAACCCTACCCTTGTACCTGTTGCAGTTGTTTATGTGTCTATTGTGGATTCTCCTTCAATTCGCGGTGGTCTTTATGTACTGGGACCTCCCACCCCTGGAAAGGAGGAAGACCAAAGATAATCTGGTGCACAAAGTAGAGGAAAATGGACAAGGGTTTGCAGAAGATGAGGGAGAAGCCCAGGAGGAAGTGAAACCACTCATGGGGTCTCAGGAGCTGCTGGGGTCATATGGCTCAGTGGTGGTGACATCCAAGAAATGCAGGAACAACATCTCTTTTGCTTCCAACACTTCACTGAATCACGTTTCTCCATCTCCACCTCCTGTAATACCACAAACCCAGAGCAGCCTTAGACCCTTTAAAAATTCAAGCTTTTCTCGAGGTACGTGGATGATAGCGTCTATGCACCTTCAAATTCCTCTTCCTTGTACCTTGTATTGGGTTTTAATCTGTTTTTTTTTAATCATTTTTGGGTAAAATGATAGACTTGTCTCACTCTTTTCTCTGCTTTGACTCTGTGGTTAATTTATGTGTCTTCTGTCATACACCCTTATCCGCCTGTCTCTTCTCCTTTATCAGAGTTCTTGAGAGAGGAAGTGGTCGTGCTGCTGGCTGCTCAGTTCATCACCCTTTTTAATCAGACAGCTTTGGAGGTAGATCAAAAACACACAGACTGAAGCATACACTTCTACATACACATAAATCATATATTTTAAGTTCTGTTTATACAGTTTTAAGAAGCATGGTACGAAACCCTTTAAAATGGCAAAACAGATGAGCTTTTTGCCAAAATTTGGTCTTATCGTCATGGAAGTCACAGGCACAGAGATCACAAAACCTACTAAAACTTAGACCAATGTGACTTCTTTTACTTTTTGGAGCTTTTATATTTCCAGGGTAAACCTTAAAAAAGCCACGTTTCAAAAAACGCAAACAAGTAGTTGGACAAGAGTTTGAAATCAAATTACTTCATGCAAACTAACATTTCTTCATGAATCTTTTTTTAGACCATGGTGACCCCCCTGACCCAGAAATATTTCAGCTTTGGGGAACTGGAGAATAGCGTAATGTACTGTCTTGGAGGAGTTGTCGTGATTGCTGGATTCCTGTTTGTGCGTTGGCTGAGTCGCCATGTTGCAGAACGAGTGGTCCTTGCTATCGGCCTGACCATCTGCAACATATCCTGCATATGGTGCCTCATTTTCTTGGCTAACCCACTAGGTCAGAAGGATACTTTTTTGTGTTTTTGTACTCTGAATAACAGCTTTGAAGTTTTTCAAAGACGTTTGCGTGTGAATGTGTCATCGGATGATTTTAGCGTTCTTCTTTTCTTTCTAATCTCTAGGTGACTTTTCTTGGCAGCTGACAGAGTTCATCATTGGAGTGTTTCTGCAGGTTTTGGGATTGCCGTTTGTGGCCGTGGCTCAGGTTTCCCTCTTCTCCAAAATCACTGCTGAGAAAACCCAAGGTGAGAAACAGCAGCACCCAGTGGACATCGTACTTACTGAGGGTCATTTTTCATCAGAAGCACGTTTAACTGCCTTGTACCAACCTGAAGTGCGTGTCCAATTGACCCTGCAGGTTTAAGTCAGGGAGTGCGTCGCTCGGTCGGGGGTCTGGCTACAATCCTGGGCCCTCTGTGGGCTGGAGGCCTCACAGAAAACATGTACATAATGATGGGAGTGATGGTGGCACTCCTGGCACTGCTGACGGTAAATAATGATTATTACAAGTGACAAATTCAGAAATGTTTATGTCCGTCTTAGAAAATCAGTCTATGAATGGAAGTTATTTGTACTACTTCAAAGTGTGTGTTTTTTCTAATGTTGCTGTCTTTAAAAAAAAAAAGGAGGAGGGACACACTTAGATTTGGCCTTGTTTTTGATGTGGCGTTTTCCACTAATAAAAATGGATAATTCGCTTGGATATCTTTATTAACAAAAAAAAAACAAAAGCTGAAAAACAAGGCTGACTTCTAAAGCCAGCATTTTTTCTTAGATTAGGGAACAAACGAGCAAACATTTTTATAGCTTTTTCACTAGTTTTTATGCATCCCTGAGTTGTTAAACCTTGCTAACAAAGAAAATGAAAAAAAAATGTAGATTATACACTGCCCATTGGAATTGTTTTTCAGAAACGCTGATCTGTTCTTTTCCCCAAAACAGATGATGCTGGCATTCTCATACAACCGGCTGGTGGAGCCTGCAGAGGAGCAAATGGACAATTTGGAGAGCTGTGATTGAACCTGCAGGTGCTCAACACAGGAAATTTTAGAAGGTAGAGTGGCTTTGCTTAGTTTTCGTTTCCTTTTCACAGCGCTCATAAGTGCTGGCACCCACGGCCAAGATTAAGTAGTAAATGGTTGTGTCGAAGTTAAAGTGAAGTCATACCAAATGTTTAAAGCAAAACCATTTATTATTATAATAGTTCAGTACAAGAGAAAAAAATATAAAGATTATTATTTCGCTTGATCAAAATTTCTGTCCTAAACATATTTCTCGACAAACAATAGACACAAATAATTTTGATGTCACAAAGCAGGTTTGAGTCTGCAAAAATAGCAGCCTGTTATCTGCATGCCCTTCCTTCAGTTTTCATTGTAATTCTTACTCAACAGGAACAGTGTTTGGGCAAAAACGAGAATTTCTTTCAGCAATAAACTTCTTCTGGAACAGGATTAAGATCCCAACAGTAAATCACAATCCACTGTAGGCATCCTGAATGGAAGCTGACAGTTTAAGTGAGCCCCTTTCAACCCTCCCTCGTAATTTTAATCAGATGTCCTCAGAGAGACAGAATATTAAAAAAGGAACATAACAAAAAGTATTTATCAGGAACAATTGTCTTAACATTTTTTAATCCTGTTAGCACTTAAAAAAACAACGAATATAACCCCATATAATGGCTAAATGTTTTGTTTGCTATATAATGCAGGTTTAGTAAAATGTTTTTTTTATCAATCAGAAAAAGGAAAATAAATTAAATACATCATTATTTTATATGAGTAACCATCCTTCAAAATACATTTTCTTTGTTAATTCGAATGCATCATTAATAAAGTCACTAATCAAAAATTGTATTGGGATCTTTCAAAATGTTAGTTTAATGTTTAAATCTATCTGTGTGTTTAAACTGATTGCTTGTTTTGTACATATTTTGTACATACAGTATTTATGAAGAGACTGCCCATTTTCACAGTATGTACATATGCAGATGTAGTTACATTCAATATTTAATGAATAAATTATGCATTTATGTTCACTTTTCAGTACTGATATGGAGAAGCTCTTTTATTTAGTTAGGTAAAATGTATCTAATTCTGTTTTATTCTTTGTGTCAGACAACAGTGGGACTTTTTAGACCTGCATCTTCACGCTATATTGGAACCGGCATATTGGGTGAAGTCAAATTGAAAGGACGCAAATTTGTTGTATGTTTAAAGGGTGGTTTACAGATTGATATGAAGGGTATGTGGAGCATATTTCCCATGGAAATAGTAGAACCATGTTGACTGCTTATGTGCTTGACAGAAATAGTTTTCATCACAAAAGTGTATTACACATTCAGCACATTTTATTTAAGCTTGTACAACATAGCATTCACTCTTTGAATTATATTATATGCCTAAAGATTGCGGATTCAGATGCCTGGAATTTAATAAAATAAATGTAATAAATCATTAAAATCTAAATGTGATGTTTAGAAATGTTTTTTTTCCTTTAAAAAAATTCCTTTAATTATCTGGCTAATAGGGTCTTGGGTAATGAAATATATTAATTGATAAGATTATTTATGCAGTTTGGGAATGCCTTCACAGTGGCCACTGAATCAGTCACCAAGAACTGCAAACTCTTTAAAAAGCTTTGTATTAAGTTAATGCAAGGCTGTCATCAAAGGTATAGACTCAAGAGGGATATTCGTTGAAGGCCTGTTGGTCCTAAAATAACCCCAGAACACGCTAAGATTAGATTAAACTAGATGAACAGTATCACTCAGAAAAAAATTGTGTTATTCAGTGTGAATTGTCCGTTTATATTTAAAATGTGCCTAAAAACTTTGACCAACAGCCTTCAATCTATTCAGAACTAGAGAGAGGTAAATCTTTTTCTCTACTAGTCGGTGAAAAAAAAAGCTTTTGAGAGACTAAACATTTAGCTTTATCCTGAGTATTCAGAAGTAGAAGCATTCCTCTGACAATACACGTATTGCAAATTAGAATAGTTAACCACTATATGTAAACATCTTAACCAAAAGAAATCACCTGCCAAACCACTGACTTGATTACTTCAACTGTTTCTTTTCTTTACGATTTAGTTTTTTTCTTTTGTGTCTTAGTGGCTTTGAAAAACACCACTTTTCACACAGGAAGAATTGTCTTGTTTCCTATGCAACAATTTACATAAATGTCCCACTGACAAAATGTCAGGAAATATACACTTAAATTATTTTTTGTGCCATAGAAATTTTTTCCCACTCAAATGAAAATATGAAAAATCAGATATGAAACAGGTGTTGTGTAATTGTGAGGAGGATTTCTTATATGATTGTGGTGTAGTTTCGATTTTATACACATGTGGGCGCTCTTAGTCTTTATTATCCTCATTATGATTGAGCCCAGTGTGACCAAAGTGTATGTCTTGCCAATTTGTTGAGATGTAGAACACGAAAACGATTAACCTGTCAGTATTTATTTATCATTTATTAAACATTTGTTCAGCAAAACATTGACTTTTTATGGGTTTATTTGTTCTTATTAAACTAGTATGTTAATTTGACCCTACCTAGCCATGTTGAGTTGGGTAAAAGTGTTTCATATTCTCTTAAGAATGTATGTACTCGGTTGTGGGATGCTGAACAGTAAGGAAAAGGCCACAAAGAGAGAAAGGCCTCTCTACCACATACTTAAAAAAATCTGAAGAAATGGTTTCAAATATGATTTGTAATAATTATTCTTCTGTTATTTGATGTAAAACATTTTTTTTAGAATATATAGAAAAGACTGAATATTTGTTTTCATCTTTATTTTTTTAGTTAATCATTGGTTGGATTATCAGGGACTTTGCATGATCTTGTTTAAAAAATTCTTCATTTGAAAATAATCATACATTTATTCATGAAATTCTTTACTTTATAAAAAAAATTGTGATATTGGTGATGTAGAAATAAAGAGATACAAATACAGATTGATTTCACATTCCAACATTCCGCAAACACAACGTTTTGTCTGTGGAGATTTTATAGATCATTTTTAAATAGAATATCTTTAGCTGGACAGAAAGCAAATAATCTGAGTCAAAAAATGTCCAAATATTTTGTACATGAATATATAGTGGTGGAGAAACACATACAAATTATTTACATTTACATCTGGAATGACACTGTTGAAATAAAATAAAAAAAATCAAATGCATGACTAAATATGGATATTTACAAACTATCAAACGGCACACAGCCTAAATATGTTAAATGACCTTTTTGATCCAATGGAAAAAAACAGCTCAATGTAACACATAATGTGCCAGTGATTAAATAATGAATATATAATTATAATTTTTTTATTATTATGTTATATATGTTATGTTATACGTTTTACAACCTGAAAAAATAGTTAGTAGGTATATTCAATAATAATAAATAATGGAATTTACACTTTAGAGCGTGGGCCCATTTGGGGTCGCTGTTACTTTGCCAGCAGGAAGCGAGGAGCACCCGTGGCGGCGAGGTGCTCTGTGGTCATGATGACACGTCGTCTGATTGGTGACGTGGCGGCGAGGAGGCGTGGCCTCCCGCAGTGAACTCTATCTGAACCTGTTTTGGTGCTGGGTGGGGCATGCTGAGAGCTGTTACGACACAAGGCCAGTGACAGAGATATTTTGGGGTTTTGCTTTTTTTTTTTTTTTTTTTTTCCAACTTATCTAGGTCCCTGTGCCCATCACACACACACACACAGTCTCCAAACACAGTTGGCCGGGAGCAGCACGCTGACCGAACAGTGACCCTGTGGATCAGGGTCGAAAGTGCAGAACGCGTCATGTGTCATAACAGTTTTCTGGTTGAATTTGGCAATTTGGCTCCTCCTCTTTCCTCTCCAATCACAGCCCGATGCTACCAAACCAGGCTATGATAATGGACGTGTGAACTTATGGTGAACTCTATTTCACCTCGGCTAGAAAGGGCAGGTGGAGTTTAGTAGGACTTCAATGTTTGTTGTTGACATTTTTTTTTTTTTCATTTTAATTTCCCCAGGGTTGAACACTGATTGACCCTTACAAACTGGGTTGAGTTGGTGTGGAGATGATGTGGAGATTTCTTTCTTTCTTTTTTGTTTTTGACATCGCAGCCGGGTCTGACAAAAATATTTTTCAGAGTGAAAAGTTCATCGCTCTCTAAGTTTATTTCAGTTTTAATTTTCTTTTGTTAGTGTTCGTATTTCTTTTACGTTAGCTATTTTTCTTTAAAGTCGCAAATAATAAAAACAGAACACACAATACAATAAAAATGTGAAAAAAACAGAAACATAATCTGTGAAGGACCTTCTGCTATGAGTCCAAATATTATTTAACATTTTTGTCATCATAGTAATAAACTAATTGATAACACATTCATTTGGCTTAAATGCGCACAAACATGAAAGTGGCAACATAGATTTTTTGAAAAAAAATGTTCCTGTTCAAAAATAATTCCAATAGTGTTACCTTCGAAAGGATTTCAAGACTCACAAGGCTAGTTGTTAGGGTCAATACACCGAGAAAACTGCTTTCAAGCAAAAGCTTAGAAAGTTTGGAAGCGTGAAACGGCATGAAAAATTCAGTCTCTGCACTCGTGCCAAGGATTCCTAATGTTTGTTCAGAAACCTTTCAGTCAAATCTAAATGATGGCACCGACACAAAAGTGCAAAAGTCTCTTTGAGTCCCTGCAGAGATAGCACTCAAGTCCCGTCTTAATAATACATGTGTCACTCCGAAAGTGCCACATTTAAGAAGTGAGATAGTTTTGAATAAAAGAAAAAAAAAATGGGGAAGCAGGTTGCTTTAGCCCTGGTATTGCAGAGAAAAAAGGGGATGCACTTTGACAGAAAGTATGCCAAAGGGAAGGATAAAATATAAGACAATCTCATGCCTAAGTTATACTTTGTCCCAGTTTCTTCTGTTTAAAAGGTCACGTCGAGTGTCTTACTCTGTTTCCATCATGTAAAAGATTGAACTTGTTGGGGAAAAAAAATGAACTCCATCTGTCACCCAGGGCTGTATGACAGAGAGAGTTTTTCTTCACCATTGGTCTTATCAGGAAAGCGTGGTTGTGTAATGCTTTTTCTAACTGAATGAATAATTAAGTCTACATAGACCGTAGCCCGGGAACCCTCGGCTGTGTTGTGCAAGAAAGCCAGCTGTTACAGACACTTTGATATTTCCATATGGGTCATACCTCAGTCAATCTCAGCTGTAGAAGTTAAGTTTTTTGGACTTTTGGACATTTGACATCTCAGTGCTCTTGAACTGGGCATGCAGGGCAATAAATAATACCTCAATCCCATTTTAGAGAATCTAAGAGCACCAACTGACAAGAATAGTTATTTTAGCATGTCTCTTTTTTTCCACTTGAAAAATGCATTTAATTTTCCACAATTCCACATTTTTATATAAAATCCGCAGAAAGGAAAACAATGTAATAGGAGCCCCTCGGTTCAGTTGAGTTTTAAATTAGTATTTCTAGCAAACCATTTTTGTTTAATGTAATATCGCCATCTTAAAAAAATCAACTTGACTTTTCATACTCAGCTGCAGTACTGCATTTTACATAATCATAAAGTGTAAAGGTTTCTGCATATTCATTTGAAACTTTGTCACATTATTTAAATTGTATTCTAACTGCAATACCCTTTTCCAGATGCCACCGAGCCACTCATGCTAGTCCTCGTGTGTCTCCTGTGCTCGCCCGAAGAGAGATTACAAGCCCATCTGTATCACAGTAGTCGGGCCACGCTAAGCCGATGGAAGCCCTGCTCAGCAAGGCCCCGCCACAATTGTTAACCCTGATTAACTTGATGTGCCGTCCTGTAGAGCCAACAGTGTGAAAATCAAGTCAGTGCCGCGACCCAGTGCCCTGCCGCTGAACCGAGGGGGAATTGGGCAAACTTGGGGAGGGTGGATGAGAACTGGAGCCAAAATGAAGAGGGGGCACGGTCATGGCAGGGTGAGCTTGAAGCATCTACTAGAATTTTTTCTCTATTTTTCTTTAAGCTGGGAACAAATGTTCATGCACACACTAATCTTTCCTCCAGCTAGGGGCCCATTCATGTCTTATCTTCAAGGCAGAAAAGACACCTTCTTTTTT